GCTGGGGATTGAACTCATGCTACAGTGGCTGCAGCTAGCTTTATAATGCTGTGCTTTAACCCATTGTACCACCAGGGAGGGCCCTCTATTTAATTTTTAAGTGGAGGATTCACCCTAACAAATTGATTTAAGAGTTACCAATGGGGCCTTGCAATTTGAAAAAGAGATGAAAAATTATGCCTCTCTCATACTTATCAGACAAGGGAAACACTATGATCATGAAGGTTTTCCCAGGGTGAGTCTTCCCCATTATATTGTGGATGTGCTGACACCTGCAATTTCCCCAAATGTGGGAAGCTTGACGGGATAATTTGTGGTAGTGGGGACTGCACTTGCACTTTTCCCCTGGAAAAAGAAAAAGATTGCTTCTTCTTTAAATATAATTGAGTAAATCATTGGGGTTTTATGTGAATATTCTATTAACACTATGGGTGGCTGACTTCTAGAGAGCAGCTTGCTCTCTAGAAGGGACAAATGTGATGCAAGTTTGTGAATTTATGAGAAGAGATGAATAAGCAACATAATAAAAAATGTGTTTATGAGAAGTTGTGAACTGATTTGTTGTACACTGGGAGATTGAAACACTAAAAGAATATAATTTATATTAAGTCACACAATTGGAAACAGTGCTGTGTAGTGACTGTCTATCCTGAATCATGACCTAGTCCACTTTTCACTTGATATAGACAACTTATGATGTTCATGACCAAGTTCATGTTGGCTTTTGTACAAATTTGGCCTTCAAAATCAGGACAGACTCTAGGAAAATTACTATTTCATACTCTGTTATTGCAAGAATTACTGAATTTTGTGTGTATTTTCTGATACATTTGGTAGGATCTGCTATCTCTACTAAAATGACCATTAAAATTCAAAGTTAGACTGAATAGGGCATTTTGGAGGTTATATTCAAGTAGTATCCCATTAGTAGAATAATAATCAGTAGCACAAGATACTTGGGCCACCCATACATCTCTGGAACATGGCAACAATGGGAATCACAAACAGAATCTTGACAAGATAATAATGGTAGAACCCAGAAATAATATCTGGTACCTATTCTAGTTATAAAGGTCATACAAATGAAGGAGACTTGGCTTCTGACCAGAAAGGATGACAGTCTATGAAAGAAACTGATATAGGACTTTGGAAATGACACAGTTTGATAAATTATAATGCATTTAAGAGCAACATTTTGGAGAAGCACTGAATATTCTGTTTACATCACTAGGATTAAGAAGCCCTCACAGAGAGGGGAGCATTTGACTGAGTCATTAAGGGTAAATTAAAGTTCTCTATTTTTTTTTTTTTTTTAAGGAAATGCATTCCAATCCAAAGAAAGGGCCACATTAGAAAGAAAGACACTAGAGTATAGATGTTGGGACATGTTCAGCAATGGTTAATAATCTAGTCTAACCACAGAATTGAGGTTAAAAAAAAAGACAAGATGGGCCGTAGGGTTTAAAGATGTGTTAGGTCAACAGCATGGTAGAGTTTATAAAATTGGTAGTTTTAGAATTATCCACCTCACAAATATGTCCAACCTGGAAACTGCTATTTTTGTAAGTCTCTAATTTGGCTTCTAGGCTGAGTCCCAATTTGTGTGATGAATAACAGACATCTACAAAAGCACATAATCTCTTCTCTACCTGACCCTAATCTGCTTTCCATACTTTGATATTCCTTGAAAAAACCTGTGCTCCTATTGTGTCTCTGGTGAATCCTCTCACCTCCTCACACCTCTGACCTACACCCCAGCTCTTATATGCATAAATAGATAAAAAAAATCTTTAATATATATACATATATATAAAATGAGTAGTGTACATATACACACATACAAATGTGTAAATTTTTATTGCTTTTGGAAATGCAAATGTAACTGGTGAGTTGCAACTTTAAAAATATGTTCACTTGAACATTGCTAAGAACATCCAAAGAAAAAGACAGACTTTTTGACCCTGTGTTATTTTCCCCACAGGATTGAAAAAACGTACAAGAAAGGCCTTTGGAATACGGAAGAAAGAAAAGGACACTGATTCTACGTATGTACTTAACAAGTTTGTTCCCCCCAAAAGGCATTTGCTTTAAGACACTTATTTTAAAAGTGCACAGCATTGTTCATGCATCGTATGTCATTTGGTTGCTCTCACCATTTCTGGGTGAACTCTAGTTAGTCAGCATAAACAGTTTTTCAATGTATGCCCAAGAAGTGAAAACTTACCATCTTATGTTTGATATGCCTTCTTATGCCACTTCTTTATAACTGGATAACCATAATTTCTATAAGTTCTAAGAAACAGGAGTTGTAATTTGCTTTTGTGGGGACTGAAAATATTCATTTCCACCCTTAGATTGTCCTGAGTGACAGAAATGAAGTACACTCCTGTTTAGGTAGATTAGACCTTGTCAAAAACAAAAATTAGACAAAAATCCCAAAACTCTTAGTTGAGAGGCCAAGATTTTGTAAGAATTTTAAATCATCAAGATAATTCATGGAGATGATAAGCTATTTGGCTGCAAATAACAAACCAAATTAATTATGTGATAGCAAATTAGTCATAAACTGGTTCCACAAGCAGTGGTGGTCAAAGGACAAGCAATTTAATGGAAGCCATTACTTCTCATGAACCCCTGCTCTCTAATTGGGTCATCTATCATTCTTGCAAAATACTGGGGAAATGCTCTGGCAATTTGCTGTCCTGTCAGCTTTAGTAATGCCTATATGAGACTCAGTCACTGAAACTTGTTGATGCAAACTGCTCTGGAGCTGCTACAACTCTCTGAGGGTTGCCAAGCAACCTGTAAGGGTAAATGTCACTGCATCCTCAGCTAATTGAACCTCCTGATGCACAGAGTGAGGTGAGGACCAGAAAGTCCTGATTTGATCATTATTACAGTGGTGCTAGAGGAAACCATAGCCTGTGCTAAATGTCAGGCCTTATGCAGGGTATTTTGTGTGCACTGATATCCTTTTAGTCTTCAAAGTAATTCATTAAGGTCAGAAGTAATATCAAGTTTAGAGATGAGAACTTATGCCAAAAGGGCATGCTGACTCAGTAAATAAGAGTAGGGACTAGTATTCTAGTCCAGAATGTAATGCCTATGCTTTTACCACCCCTCAAAAAAGAACAGATGATCAAAATTATAATCAAGGCAATATAAGAATAGAGAGAAAAGTAAGAGGTGGCAAGAGATAGCTGAAACTTTTTACAATGGAGGCAAAAGGCCCTTGGTTAATTGTTAGTTTTAAAGTAAGTCAATATAATGTGTCTGCTGTCAGAGGTGGAAAAAATTATCTTTAAAAAATATATAAAATTTCTTGGGCCCTCCCTGGTGGCACAGTGGGTTAAAGCACAACACTGAGAAGCTAATGTCACTTCAGCATGAGTTCAATCCCTGCCTCGGAGGTGACCCACATGGCGTGGCAAACCTCTCTTGACCTGCCCACTGCTCCCCTCAACAGTGTACTTCATCAGTTGGCCTGTTCTGCTCCCCATTCTGCCTCTGGTGAATCCTCTCACCTGCATTTTACATCTCTGGCCTATGTATGCATAAATAAATAAATCTTAAAATAAATATATATATATATATATAATTTCTTAAGAGAGGGCTAGGAAGTGAATTGAGACTATTATGCCTCAGGCTGTCAAAATCTCTCTACTCCCATCCCAATCAGGTTATATAATAATTATTAGCCTAAGTACATTTAATGAGCATTTACTATGTTCTAGACTCTTTATGGATAATAGTCATTATTGTGACTATTTTTTAGATGACAAAACTGGGACACAAATGGGTGAAGTAACTGAGACATAAAAATTGATATAACCTCAATGGCTGGCACTAAATTGTCACTCTTAGCCATCATGCTTATTATCATCATTAGGAAACACCCAACAAATTTCCATCAGTTACTTAAACAAAGGATCAGGCTGGGACACCAAAGCTGCTGTGCATAATCACAGCTTTTCCCACTAAAATTCTGAAACATCTTCACTATGCCTGTGATATGTGCGGGATTGAGTGACTCTCCATATCAGGTACCCTACGGGTAATAACTTTGCAACTGGACCAATGGTGAGCCACAATATAGCCAGGGTCATTTCCAGAGCCTTCTCTTGTCCACGTCTTTGACTTGATGCTCCCAAAAGCATCCCCATGAGGGTCAGACTCTGTGGATACATCCTACATAGTTCCTTTATAGTGGTAAATTCAAGATCACTCTCAGGAAAGAAGATGAAAGAGGACAAATTGGTTCACTATGCTTCTGGTTGTTTTATGTGGAGTCAGCTGAGTAGGACAGCCTCAGTGAACCCTCTTCTCAAAGATGGCATGAAGTCATTGCATCAGTCACTTGTCCCTTTTTGTTTTCAAGTATTTTATACACACATACACATTTAATTGAAGTGATATATTAGTTTACAACACTGTAAGATTTAGAAATATAGATTTCTTCCTCTTAAGATATATATTATCACTACAGCACCCAGAATCCTCCACCACTTGAAGTTTAGTTTTTAATGAAAATCTGCCTCCCACAGTCAACTATCACTCAATCACTTTGTTTTGATTTCATCTTCATTAGCCAGCTTTACTGAAGTGGGAACTTGGGAGAGGGGGAGAGAGGTGATTAATGTTTCTTCTAGTTGCACTTTAATCTATGTACCAAGAGTGATTCATTTTCCTAATAGCTACCAATTTCTCTTTGTTACAGAGGTTCACCAGATAGAGATGGAATTGTAAGTATTGAAATGACCTTTTTTGTAGCTTTTTGCTTTAGTTTTTGCTATGTTTAAATTTCTTAAAGCCCCATTTTTTTCTCTATGGAAAAAGTAGCTTAAATGACTTTTCATAACATTCATTATCATAATTTTCTTTATAATTGCTTGGTACATAACGGCAGTCTTGGGCAAGTTAAACTTGTTTATCACATTCATCTAAAACCCTCCCCTAGAGTAGGAGAGCAAACCAATCATCAGTATGATGGGTCAAATGCCAGACAGTTCCTGCAAGGGTTGCTACCATCAATTGTGATTTCATTTCCAGTTTAATGATATAAAAGCTCATTATGTGAGAATGTTTTTCTCCAATAGAAGCCACAGAGTCTTAATGGAACTGAGATCCAATAAAACTGAAGGAAGCTTTTTCTCTTTCATAGTTGAGCTGTAGATATATTTTTTATATTAAATTCATAAGGAGGGAATGGTCTTGAACACTTATGTCTGAATTTGCAGCCTGAAGGAGGAAAATGTGTCCACTGGGTTTCAGTTTAATGGTAACTCAGACTCCATTCTGGCCACCAAGTTTCTTACTTTTTCAGGAAGTCTGTGATGCCCAGTGTTGGATGCTTCCGAGTCATGCTTGTAGGAATCGGCACCAATTTCTAAAATGACTTCCTTCAAAACTAAATCAAATGTCTATTCAGCAGGTTCAAAGGAACAGCTGTTACTGGGGGGGAAAAAATAAATAAAAGGACACACATTAGGCTCACTGGGCTGGAGTGGGAACTAAAATAAATCTGGTGGTTAAAAATATGTTATTTGAAAAATCACCCTTTATGTATAGTATCATATCTAAATTAAATTGGAGTGTTTACTGCAGCTACAGCAGTTTTTCTCCCACTTTGATTCAAGGTTCTTAGCTTTGGGGTGCCTTTGCATTCATGTAGTTCTCTCCATAACATGTTAAGAAAATAGACTAAAATTTATGAGACATTGGGTAACACTATAATCAAGGCTCTATTCAGCAGGGGAAAAAAAAGACCCAGAAGACTCAGCTTCTCCTCACCTCTTGCTTCTGGCTCAGAGCCCTCTCCTTAACTCTGTCTCAGGTACTCTCTGCTTTCGTGTCCTCTCTTTGCTTCTGTCTCAGTCCCTTCCCTGGGCCCTCTCATCCCCTCCATTCTGATTTGCAAGGCTCCATTAGCCATTCTCCATTGCCTTGCCCTGCTGCACCCAGACTGGATGCCATTTCTTGCTTCTCTCCCTCTGCCAACCTCAGTTTTGTCCTTTTTCTTCTTCCCAAGCCTCCCCTCTCACCTTGCTCACTGTCATTGAGGCCCTATTGCCATCTTAATGTCCTCTGCACTTCTAAGTATCTCTAGTTGAAATCTCCAGTAGAACATGCATTCCAGTACCTGGCACAGCAGCTAACATGTAGCAGGCAGCCACAAGGGTGTACTTCACTGCTGAGTCCAACTGCCCTCTGTGGATCTGCCCACCCTAGTTCAGGGCTCCCTACCTGAGATCCCCAGTTCTCTCCTTTTCCACCATCCCAAGACATGTAAAGTTACTTATTAACAGTTGCACCCTCTTTGTTACTTTAATAGAAAATGCCATAAATATAATTATTAGGAAAGAGGAATTATTTGTTTTCAATTTTTCAGGAAATAGAACTTTTTGGAAGAGTTACATTCAAAATAAATGCAGATTGTCAGAGGTAGGGTGACAACTTTGTAGGCTATTGAAAATTATTAGCCTGTTGATAGTTTTACCATTTATAAATGCTCTCCAAGTTTTTTCCACTTAGTATAACCAGCAAATTTTAAGGACTCCTTATCACACTAGTGCTGTAGAGACCCAGTTGTTCTTTGCGTTCAGTCCTTAGAGATATCAACCTTATTTTTCTGCAAACTCAGACTGATTTCTATAAGACATTGTGTCTATGGACCCAGTCTATGTATATGTAGCTGCTTTAGCTGCCAGATTATTGCCTTCTGAATGAAGGGGAAATTGATGGTTTTGCTGATGTGGTTCCACAGTTACAGGAGGTGGTTCAACCTCCTAATGCTTACAAGCTACTTCATTTATGTAGGGGTCATACACTGGGTTTAATGTCCTCTTGCTTTTAATTTCAGTTTCTGAAATCCAATGAGTTCCATCTCTGATGACCATATTTTGAGGTTTAAAGTACAGAGGCTTTATGGTAGGGTTGCATGTGTGAAGGTGGTCATACCTAGCTTCCTGTGTGCAGAATATACCTGTCCCAGCAGAGTTGTCTGTCATGTTCAAATGTGCAGGCAATTATGTGTAACCATGTAGTCCAACCCAAGGGCAAGCTCTAATTTGCACAGAACACACTTCAACATTTTCCTAAGCAGTTCAGATTTCCATCTACAAACAGATTGGAAAATTCAAAGCCAATGCTGTAGGGAATTGTCTCTGCTCATCCTGAATAGGTGTATAGAAAGAGATCAGATTTGGAGTTGCCAGCTGTAGATTTTTATATGCATGGATGATCCTCATGGGGACATTATTGACACAAAGAGAAATGTAACAGATCCAGGCTCTTATACTTCAATTAGAAAACAACCATTCAGTCTCTTCAGCATGACCTAATGTCTTCTCTCTATCTGTACATTAAGTGCTGACTGAATGAGGATGAGATCTACATAATCCCTAGTGCCCAAGACATGTTATTCCTCTTCTCCCTTCTTCTCCTGGCCTAGCCATGCTGGCCTGCTGAATAGAGCCTCATTATGGGCCCCAAAGTCTACTCTTTTCTTAAGGATTCCTGCCAAGATTGGTAGTCCCTACAATTTGGCCTAGAAATTGTTTCTTCTATGGTATGTTTGCTGACTCCATGTGATTCTTTATATGTGTCTTGAAGAACAAACAGAGCCTTTAACAACTTTTTTCTACATGAAAACAATCAATTCCAGCAGCCCAGCCCACATGAACCACCCTACAATAGCAAAGCAGAATGTGCGCGTGAAGGAGCAAAAAAAGTTTCGGTAAGGAAACAGATTTTAGTTTAAAATTTCCAAGGGGTTGTAGAAACAGTGAGTAAAATTTCAATTTGAAACTTGGAAAAAAAGCAGTAGCATTTATTATTACAACTAAGAAGACTCTTAGGTATTTCCAAATTACTCTTTGAGTATCTAGGACCAATTTTTAAGACATTTCTATATATTGATAACTGAATAAATTTTTAAGAGTATTAGGCATAAAAGATATGTTTCCTTTGCCTTAGACAAAGACCAGAGATTCAAATTTTTGACAAAATCTTTTATCTATAAAAAAGAGCTTGCTATAATATGAGCATTGGCATCTAAATTGAGTAATCATTTGTGAGGATACACACTAACTCTGTAATGTCAGGGATTTGGGAGGATGTTGGCTTACGGGAATCATGTACTGGCCAAAGAATATCAAATAAAGGATGTTGGTCCAGGACCACACTGTATATCAATTATAGATTTGTCATCCAATATGGTGCCTTCTTCACATTCAATTCTTTAGTTAAACCTGCCATGTATCAAGATCTCTATAGCTACTTGTGTCCAGGAGATACCATTTTGGACAACATAGATAATGGGATGTTTCCATCTTCACAGACAGTTCTTTTGGACATTGCTGTTCTATAAAATTATTTACAAAATGAATCAAGTCAGTGGCAAAAAAGATATTATTTAGGTAGTTCAACATGTCTCACTCAAGAATAGCATGTAGTCAAGAACAGATCTTGACAAAAGAGGAGTATTCACAGTGCAAATTGAGAATTTTTATTGAGCTAACCTATCATATTATCTGAGAGCCAAGAGTAAGCCTGACAAAAGTAAAATAAAGCAAGTTTAACATTGTTGAGCCTCAAATATCTTTAAATAGTATCATATTATCAAGTTGTAAAAGTACTTTATGTTAAATGTAGAATTTTGGAAAATGAAGGAAAGAATCAAAAGAATATATAACACTAACATCAAAGGAAAAATCACTGCATATGTGTAATAAATAGCCTAGCTTTTACTAATAAGCTTAGTTTTAAAATGGTATTTCCAACTTACATTCTTCCTTCATCAACTTTTTCTAACTGAAAATCAGCAGAGCTATTATCTTCACTATTACCATTACAGCTACACCTCGCTAAGTGGTTAAGCCAGGAAAATTGTTTTCTTCTTGGGATTTGACCAGAAGAATATCAGCCAGGTTCTAACCTAGTTTTAACTTGATGATTTTCACTTTAGAAACCAAGTATATTTGTGAGAATTTAACACTGGGAATGAAGCCAAATTGCCAATCCCTCAAAAAAAATATTGTGTGTGTGTGTGTGTGTGTGTGTGTGTGTATGAATGTTTTAAACATCGGTTCAAAAGAAAGTGTTGTTATGATTTTTGTTTCTGTTTTATATTTGTATTGAAAAGGTTCTTATTTTTATGGATTTTATTTTTTTTCTTCTCAATCTTCCATTAGTTTCCATGGAAACTGAGAAAATTTTCACTCAACCCAAATCTAGACAGGATATCCATAATATTGGAAACATGTTGTTGGGAAAGAAAAACACACATGTAGTTTTTCAACTGAACATATCAACTATCTTGGTTTTGAAAGTCTTCAGACTAGATAATCAGAAATATAAGATCAAAACTATGGAGCTTTGAAAATTTTGAACTTAGTAATTTACCTATTTTTTTTTTTTGCTTTTTTTAGATAACAATCTTTTGTATTAAAGATTTGCTTAAGGACTGAAAGGTATATTAATAGCAGTAGTCTACTGATGACAAAATCCACAAATTTAGTTGTTTGAAACTAACTTAACTCACTTGATTTCTCAGGATTATAAATTAAATTTACATATTTAATTCATTATATATGTTTTCTAAGAAGAATATGGAGAATTTTGCAAAGAAGTCATAAGCCAACCAATCAGTAAAGGAAGAATTTTTAAAGAAAGTAAGAATGACATAAAGGAAGTAGAAGCTATGCCCATTCCACTGGGGAGAGATTTTTTAATATTGGATAATTGTATTAATTAATGGACCATGTCCCAAACGGTTGCTTCATAGCTTATTCATGTGCAAAGTTGATACAGCAGGTTTTTAGAATGACTTGTTTAAAGTAGAAAGAACATCACTGAAGCACCAATTCAATTAAGACTATGCTATGAGAAGGTTAAAGTGATAAACTCAGGAGTATTTAATCTTTGTCAGGAACAGGGCAAAGAGGAAGAGGGCCATGGGCCCTGTGTTCTTGGTTGCTGTTCTCTTGGAGGCATGTCAGAGTTCTTGTTTTTGTCAATTCTAGTCCACTGGTAGTATAGAGGAAGAGAGGGGGCATGCACATATTAGCTATTCCTTACACACAATTCACTCTTACTAACCTACTGCCAGCTCTTAGAAAATGCCCTGTCAACACACAGTAAGTGTTATTGATGGTTATAGGTTACTTCTGACCTGGGTTTCCTAGTGATCCTGTATGCACACATGAAAAGCTACTCCCCAACCTCTTTATTGGATTGGATATTAGCTGTTAATATTGTGGTTCATGTGGCATTATTTTGTGATTGCAAAATTAGAGGTCCTGTTCTCAATTCTCATGCATCGCCATCTGATACGTGTTGTCTGAGACCTGCTATTGCTCAGTAACATTCTGTTGCTCTGTATGCTAGGCACAGGAATGTTGTCGATTTGACCCTCCACTACCAACCTGATATGTGTCTCTGTCATTTGCTCAGAAAAAAAGTAGAGAATCCTCACGATTTCTATTTAGATAATGCCACTTCAAGTGCTTGTGGACCAACAGAGTCATTATACTAGGGACTTAACTAGAATATTAATATAATCTTGAGAAAGTAATAATGATTTCCAGTCATCTTGCAATGATGTGTGCCCAAGGAGGCAGGGGACACATGTTTTACAGAAATCTGTGATCAAATCCTTGAATTCTATCTTAATAATTTGATCAGGAAATCCATTTGAAAAGAATATCATCACCTAGTAATTGAATATTAACACCTAAGGACTGAACCAGGAATTGAATTAGGAAATAGATTCACTAATTTGGAGCTGATTCCCTTTTTAGTATAGCAAAAGGGTGGTTAGAAAAGTTGCCATAATGCTAGAAAAGCTAAAAGAAGATTAATGACTTCGGTGAATATTCTGATATGTTATAACTAATTGTATATGAGAACAACATGGAAGTCAAAATATTTCCGTTTAAAAGACATAAATATATAGCCATATCCCCTGAAAACATAGAGGATTAAATTATCATATAGTTACTGCTAATTACCCAGTGATTGAGTAAAATTTGGACAGTTAGTTGTTAATATCCCTATGCTTAAGAATACTACAGTCTTGTGAAAAATAAGTATGTAAACTCTTTCATATGGTGTCACAGCAGCTCAATTTACCATTCACTTATACTAATGTGAAGACTTAATAGGCTGCTTTAATTTGTCTTTCCAGTGCTGGATTTTTGATAGCTCTTGCTAACTACAGACAAGAGTTGAATGTCATTTCTCCCATTTTTTTTTCATTCTAATATTTCTCTTCAAATTTATTTTCAAATGTATTGCAGAAGAAAAGCAATGGGGCACCAAATGGATTTTATGCAGAAATTGATTGGGAAAGATATGTGAGTATCAGAAGGTTATTTATCTTTAAATATTTCACAACTTGAAAATGAGTTGAGGCATTCTTCTGTTTATAATAGAACACAGAAGTAAATGAAATGCTCATCATCCCATGCAGAAGTGCCTGGCTTGATTAGGGTGCTCTAAAATTAAGAGACAAAAATGTCTGTTAAACTTGGATTCAAGACCTAGCCCCTCCACATACCTACACATGACTTTGGTATACTTATTTGCTGATTCGTAAGAAAAATTTAATAATCAGAAAAGAACATTGTTTCAAGGATTCTATAAATTATTTATTGAATATTTAAGTAACCTACCATGTGAGCAATGTATGTTCAATAGTTTTTTTTAAAGATATTGCCAGGTATTTCTGTCCTGGTTCTATATTAAACAGCTTTGAGAATCAAGACAAGACAGTTAACCTCTAGACCATGATTTCATAATATTTTAGTACTTCAGGCTGTTGTAATATTTGCAACCAGGTAGCTTATAAAAAACATTTATTTCTAACTGTCTGGAGTCTGAGAGTTCAGTATCCTGGAAGCAGCAGTTTGGTGTCTAATATGTGCCTGGTTGAGGGCTCACTTGCTGATAGCATATTCTATCTGTAATCTACCTATAATTGCTTTTCAGTAGCACTAATCCCAATTATGAAAGTACCTCCCTGATGACCTAGTTCTCTCCCAAAACCATACCTTATAATACCAACACCTTGGGACAGGATTTCAACATGTGAATCAGGGGTTCAGATTTTTCCCATGTCAAGTGACAATCATTTGTTACTTCTCAAGGAATAAAAGTGAATTCCAGTTGAGACCTTAACTCCTCTCATAATTTCCCCCAAAGCTTATCACTATTACCATGTGCTTCACCAGCAATAGCAGGCCTTTCTAGGCACAGGAGTCATAGAGCCTGTATTCACAGCCCAAGATCATAGGAAGTATCCCTATAAAGTCTCTACACATGTCACTAGGTAACTGTCTGGCCCCCATTCTCTTTTCATGAAGTTAATCTTCATATGGGCCTCCCTGATGTTCAAGGGTTTAAATCTCAGCACTATCAAGTTGTTGGCAGCCACTGTAGTACAAGTTCAAACCCTGGCCAGGGAGCTGACCCACATGGCACAGCAGACCTCTCCTCTGTCTCTCCCACTGCTCCCCTCAGCAGTGTATTTCAGTTAATCCTCTGTTCTGTTCCCCACTCTGTTTCTGGTGAATCCTCTCACTCCTCCCCTCCAACCCTTCCACCCCGGCACTGCTGGTCTACACCCCAGCTCTTCTACGCAAAAATAAATACATCTTAAAAAAAAAAAAATCTTATAGTGTGTCCTCCAAATGTCCTTGCTTCATTGCATCCCACTACCAACAACTTGATCCACATTCTTAGCACATTTTACCTGAATTGATGCAAGTATCTTGAATTATTTTCCCTTTCTTTAGTTTCTTCTGCCCCAAATCTATCCTGAAGCAAACTTCCAATACTCTGCAAGATTCTACTGTCAATGTACCCTAACCTAATTGAAAAGCATAGCAGCTATATCAGTTCCTAAATCTTTTTCCAGGATGTTGGCTTTCCAATGCCTTATTTCCCTTGGCCTCCCAGCACAGAGCTTACTTTCCAGCATGTCATCTCTGTTATTGCCTCTCCCTTTGCCAACAATGTCAATTCCTGCCACAGCGTCTCAGTGCAAGCTCATCCTTAAAAGCAGGTCCCCTCTGGTCTCTCTATCTGACCCCCTGACTCTTTATTTCTTTTCCTTTAAGATCCTATCATTGATGATTTTTAAAAATTTTGCTCACCAAAATACATTTCAATTTTCCTGAGTATAAATAATATGCATTTGTAACCCTTCATGGTGCTTAGCATAGGCCTGGATTACAAGAAATACACAATAAATTCTCTAAGAATGTTGTTTGTCACATTAACAGTTGACTCCTAATTTATTTATTTTCAATAGATTTTCCAAATATTCATTAGTAAAAATCTAAATGTAGGCCCTCCCTGGTGGCGCAGCGGGTTTAAAGCACAGCACTGAGAAGCTAAAGCCACTTGTGCATGAGTTCGATTCCCGCCTGCCCTGGAGGTGACCACATGGCGTGGAAGACCTCTCCTGACCCGCCCGCTGCTCCCCTCAGTAGTGTACTTCATAGATCTACCTGTTCTGCTCCCCACTCTGTCTCTGGTGAAGCCTCTCGCCGCCCCGGACCTCTGGCCGTACCCCAGTTCTGTATGAACAAATAAATAAATCTTTAAAACAAAAAATCTAAATGTACACTTTGCAGGATTCACTATTAAAAGTTAAAATCTTATCTCCTTAAAATAGAGATATTTCTGTATCCTTGAGTAGGAGACTCTCAAAGGAAAATGAATATAGTTTCTTTATCATTATCAGCATAATAATGCTCAATGTGTTTGTATTTTATAGAATTCACCTGAGTTGGATGAAGAAGGCTATAGCATCAGACCAGAGGAACCTGGCTATATCCTTTTCTTATTTTAATTTTCATCTTTTTCTCTGAAAACAATATGATAAATTCAGGTTTTACAAAGTTGCTGTAAAACACAAACATTTTAAGTTCTGCTGTCCCTAATATTAGAGACTAATAAACAGCATTGGGAACAGCCTGATCACTAGCAAACAAGCATTTTGCCTTGAGTTATTCATAGAAGAGGAAAATGTGTTGAAAACAATTGTACAAACTGTGGGTACAGTGTCATTTATACTGACTGGGAAATAGCTCTTTATTGTCCTCTCCCCCCAACTCATCACTGGGTAGAGCATGTCACAAACTGAAGCACTTAAAATTCATTGTAAATGCTCAGAGTGGTCTTCTCTCTGCAAACAAGTAAGCCCACATGGAGCTGCCATTGCATGTGTGCTGAGTGGGACTCTAGAATTAGCCCACTGCACTGGAGCAAAATGTTGGCTGTCACAATGACTGCTCCTTGAAATTCACAATCCTTAGTCATGTTCTAAGAAAAGTGAATGAATCCAGCCCTCCCTGTGAAGCAGCAGGTTGGAGCGCCACACTGCAAAGCTGGCCTTGGCCGCTTCAGTGAGAGTTCGATCCCCAGCCCTGGAGGTGAACCACATGGCTCAGCAGATCTCTCCTGACCTGCCCGCTGCTCTGCTCAGCAGTGTACTTCCTGGATCTGCCTGTTCTGCTCCCCACTCTGTCTCTGGTGAAGCCTCTCACTGTCCCTGCACCTCTGGCCTGTACCACAGTTCTATATTCATCAATAATTTTTTAAAAATCTTTAGAAAAAAAAAAAGAAAGAAAAATGAATAAATCTAACCCTTTCTGCTTTACTCTTTTGCTTTTCTGCCTTTTCATATGGTATTGATTTGCCAATTAAACATTTACAGAGTTCTAATTTTGAGAGAACAACTTCACACCTCCATACATGCACATGCTTTATTCACCACCACCAATGTGCAATGGTCAATATTCCATCAACTTCCCTCCTATTTATTTGTTTTGCTTTGCTTTTCTGCCATCTAAGAATGTATTGGCTGCCTTTATTTGTCATCACTCTTGTCTTATACTCATTTTACCTCCAATTATATTTCTTTAACTGTGTTCTACCTACCAAAGGAAAGCACTTTTATTCTTCAAGTGAGTCTGAAGAAGAAGAAGAATCACACAAGAAGTTTAATATCAAGATTAAGCCATTGCAATCTAAAGATGTTCTTAAGAATGCTGCAACTGTAGATGAACTTAAGGCCTCGATCGGCAACATCGCACTTTCCCCATCACCAGTGGTGAGTGCTGTTTTGTCAAGATTTGGTGAGATTGGACAGAAAGCCATCTTCTGTCCATACACATTAAGGAAATCAGCCAACACCTTAAACTGAAGGTGCATATAGCCATGAATGTGCTAAACTTTCACTATCTCAGTCTAGTTTTAAGAAGTTATACTGATTTTACATTGTAGTTCTTGTGCTTTTCAAAATAGCAAAAATATATAGAACCACAGTTCTTTGATTTATTTTTCTGAAATCATTTTGAAAAGGAGGGGTAAAAACCCCAAAAATATTATCCAGATTTACTTCTGAAGTATTTTAAAACAATATGTCCATAATTTACTAACCATGAATTTTTAAGATATATCTGTGTCCTTTTCAATGATATACCAAATAAAAACGCATGGGAGGAGAACCAAGGAAATTACTTTTCTTTTAAAACATTGAAGCAAATATATATATATATATGTTTGTTATTGCTGTGCTCCAAAAAGGAAATATTAGTTTAAAATCATAGTCAAAATAGATATTAAAATTCATTTCTTCATTATACTGAACTATAATGAAGTAGTATCAAATTGTCTTAAATGTTCTCATCCTTTAGGCATCTCAAATACAGGTATGCATTATTTATATTATATTATTCAAATTGGTGTTTTACTTCCTATTCCCAATTCTCATCTCCTAAATTGCTTTAGTTGCTTAATTCTGAGTTTCAATATTTATAGTGTTTTTCCTCTGTGGTGTTTGAAAAATGCTACAATCATTTTCTAAAAATAGTCACAAAGAGCAGATGAAGGCTCTGCAAACTTGCATCTAGTATGCTTTTTGTATCTCCTTTAAATATGTTAATTCCCTGCAGCATTCACACTGAACAAGCTAGTTAGTAAATGTTGAACCAATTTTGAGACATTTCTGGAAATACTTCAACTAACCTTTCTATAAAGGAGTTATAATTATCTATCCTTTAAGAATAAACCTTGTCTTCCTGGGATAAAGAAAGTCTATAATGAAGCCTTCTCTAGTGCTTAACGTTTATAGTGACCTTTTATCACTGCTGTCTGTGATAACTAAAATGATTGCTAATAGTAACCAACCACAGCAAACAATATTTTGGGTAATATTTAATCATAAGCTCACTTGCCATCTCAATATATCTTCTTGAAAGATAGTTTTCATTCTTTTCTGCAATAAAAGGTACAGATTTTAATCTCACCTATAAGTCTATAATACCAGTGATTTCTAGCAAATCAGTCATTTTTAAATCTACACACTTATACTTTTCAGTTGACATCTTTCAAATCATTCTTCACTTACTGGATCTTTTATTAATTGTAAAAATTTATGCTAAGCATCTGAAACCAATTTATATCCCCTTCATTTGGAAGCTACCTGGGAACATATAAGAAGGCAAGTTCAACAGAATTAAAGTCACTAGATTTACCAGAAACAAAGCCAACAGGAACCATTAGACACAGGGTAGATATTTACTGGCGATTACTTGAATTGAGCAAAAAAAAAAGCAATAACCTCTATCAAAAAGAATGTGTGTGCCTAAGTCACGTGATAAATACTACTTCAACCATAAATATTTCTGAAGATGCTGCAAGAAGACTTGTTTTCTGAGTTCTTACCAGCACCCATTGTAAGATAATATATTGACATGGTGTGAGTAAGATTCTGATAACAAGATATAGAGAAACACTGGGAACAATAGGTGGAGAGACCCCCAAAAGGAATCCAAAGGCTGTTTGTGCAAACCAACAATTTCACATACCAAGGGGTACCCTAACACTTCCACTTCACAGCAGCAACTTGTTCTCTTGACTTCGAGAACCTACCTCTGCCATGAATATGCTTCCCCAAAAGATGCAATTTCTGCTATTTAATATATCAGAGCTGTTACTGCTACTTATTAGTAAAAGGTAATCACATCTCTGAATAAGCATAGTCTACTCCAAGATTGTAACTGAAACCATATCTTTGGCTTTAGAATACTTGCTCTCTCCTAGATAACTCATGTTCACCTATATTTTGTAAATGATATGTGCATTACTTTGTCTTTAGGAGTAGATCAGTAAAAGCAACCTTCTGAAATCCATGATAAAAATGGCAAATGCTTTGTTTAATTTTAGGTGTTTCCAGTCAACTACTTAGGTTTTTATACTTCTACATTTAACTTCAATACAAAAAAAAAAAAAAATAGTGCCTTTACCAGTTAAGTAATATCAGAATATTTCATTTAGGCTATGTTTATTATGCTGTTAGAGTACCAATCATTACTGTATAAAAAGAAGAATTTGCAAATAATTGGTGTTCATCGTCATGACTTATGGTGAATTTCTGATTTCTACATCTTTTGAATATTTTAAAACAAGGCTGTGTTTCACTTGTCCTTTTCATCCATCTGTAACGATGGATGTGTCAATGAATTGCAGCTCATTTGATAGCTTTTGTTATGAATTGGTTTTTATTTTATTTGAATCATTTTTAGTACACATTTTGTGATCAAATCATTCATAAATGGTTGCACGAATGGGTGGATGATCTATACCTATGTATACATACAATATAAATCTATCTAAAAATTACTCTTCTCTAGAACAAAACTTAGGCCAGCATAGAAAGCCTTGTTATATAAACAAAAATAATTTCTGTGTTAAACTCTCCTTGGTCCCTGATTTTCATATAGAAGTAAAATGTGAACAACTACAAGGTATAGTACAAAATAAAGAAGAGGGGATGATATAAGGATTTACTCACAGATAAAGGATGCTATTTTCTATTCTTATGTTGTAGTCTCCAGCAAGGCTGATAAGGCAAGAGTGGACATCACTCAAATTTTAATTGTTGATTGCCATGAAACTTTTGTAGAGTAGCTTTAATACAGACCATGTTAAACATCCATTAATTATACATCCATTAGTCCATGTTTAATAAATTAAGCAAAATAGATTATTTCTTTCTCTTAAAGATTATTTTTTTCTCTTCTATATAGAAGTCCAGGTTGGTGAGCAGTCCAGATGGATAATTGAGTCCTACTCTAGGGGTCATTAAATGTAAAGCTGAATTTGAGAAACATAGAATATCTATAGCTTTCCATGGGTCTACCAGACAAGAATCCTGGTCAGAGAGAGTAATAAGTTTAATTTGTCAAGACTATTTCTTTGCACAGGCTCTTCTTTGCCACCTGCTTATATTTAATATATATTATATATTTAATATATTATATATTTAATATATTAATATTTGTTCTAATATTTTGCATTAATAGGAGAAAGCTTTGCAGTAACTGAAAGGGCAGAATATATGGATTTAGACAGGGCCAGCTGCTAGGCCCAGGTCTGCTATGATCTGCCTGTGTGACTTTAGATATACTCCATAGTTGCTTTGAGCCTATGTTTCCTTTTATTGTAAAGTAGGGATCATAATGATCTTTATGTAGTTTTTGTGCAGATTATCTGGCCAATGGCAGGGTCAAATCTTCTCTGACTTTTTTGCCTCCTGTGTTTAGTACAGAACATGCCACACAGGCACTCAGTTCATTCAATTAATGACTGAATGAAGAAAGCATACAGAAAATGTTAATAACAATACTTCTGCATAGTTAGCGCTTTGCAATTATTCTTTCTTCATTATTAGCTGTAGTAGTCAAGGATCTCCAAAATTCCAATCAGAATCTAAGGCCTTGATTTTGCCCTTTTTTTTTTGTATATTTTATATTGTTCATATATTAATTTCTTCTGTATGTTAGTGTAATGACATGTTTTTTGTCTTTCTTCATCTGACATATTTCACGTAAGCATAATTTTGTCAAAGTGCAGCTAAGTTATTGTAAATTGCAAATTTCATCCTTTTTATATTTGAATCATCTTACATTGTGTATATATACCATATCTTCTTTATACATTCACTTATCAAGAAAAACTGAGGTCAGTCCCAGTTCTTGGGATAAAGCTGATGTGAACACAAAGGCATATACATACACATATACATTTGTGTATGTGTGTGTCCTTCACCACCCTTAAGAATTCTCTCAGCTTTGTTAGTCTGTCCTGCATGTCTTTGTGAGAAGCTGTCTGATTTCGGGGCAAGTTGGATATAAAACAATGTGACCAAAAAATAAATAAATAACTTTTCCTTGAAGTGTTGAAGGGAAAGGATGTCCTGAACTAACTCCACAAACACAAGTTTTATGGACCTCACCCCCATGTCAGATCAAAAAGAGTCAAGGCATTAAGGACTACAAATCCCACAATGTCATCACCATGGAAGAGGATAGCTGGGAACTTAGGGCAGTTAAGCAGCTAGTCTTGGTATAACTAGACATGTGAACCTTGGGCGTTCTTTTTTGGCCAGCCTTCAGTGTGCTATTGGGTTCCCAGCTCAGTAGAACTGGTAGGACACCTTCCCCAATTAATCTCTCTTCTCTCTTTATTTACTTTTTGTAAATAAACCCTTTATTAACCATTTTGTGGGTTCCTGCATTTGAGTCTCATAAGTCCCATTTAAGTGTTCAGGTGAGGATTCACACTGAGGCCAACCTATTTCCCAGTGGGGTTGCCCTGTAACAGAAGCACATTGGTTAAAATTGAAAGAACACAGGCTTTTGAGGCTGTATCTTATTATCTGTATGCTCCCCATAGGCAAGTTTATTAATTCATAGCCTCAGATCCCAAGTCTGTAAAATGGGAACAGAGTACCAAACTTCTCTGGACTGATATAAAAATGATAAGAGATAATGTTGCAAAATACCCAGCTTGGTACCTGTCATCCTCCGAGTGTCAGTTCCCTTTTCAATTCTGTTTTCCCTTTCCTTAAATTAAAGACCCCTGGAATGCAAATGGAAAATAAAAATAGTGAGGGAGGACTTAGAGAAGTCTAGGAGTAGAGAGTAGAGGGCTGATGCAAATGCTGTAGAAGTCAACCTACCCAGCTTTACCCTTCCCCTGTAAAACGTAATGACAAAGGAATTAAAGAATTTGACATGAAATTATAAAAGATCATTTAGATTAACCTCCTTCCTGGGGATGTGTGATTTTTAATAGACCGTTAGCCAAAAAATTTGGGGAGGGGGAGATGACTGAACTCGACAGTCTGGTGCTGTTTGCCTATCCCAGGTGGCCCACCCACTCTTCCACCCCCAAATTAGCCTGCCAGAGAGCAAAATCCTTGAGTCTGCGGCTGCTTGGTAACACCACCCCCATTCCTGCCCTAACTCCCGGCAGAAGGTTGAGCACCCCATTGAGTTGAGTGAAAACAAAGAGTCATCAGTGGGGGAGGAGAACTCTGTTTCCTACATGCTGACTTTCCCTGTGGGTAGAAAAACTGAAGGCAATGGGAGGGTACAGATTGCAAGCATTCTGATGCTAAATGCTCAGCCCAGGCTTTCCGTGTAGGAACAAAACAGAAGGAAAGGGCTCAGTTTGGGTTGTTTAGGCTTCTGAGGGTAAACTTGATTTGGATTGGGGCAAGGATAAAGCACAGCAGATTTTGTGACTGGATTTCTTGACCCAGTTGTAGGCTGAGATGCTCCCTCCAGATAGAGCTACAAGCAGTCTGATCAGAATCATCCACAGGCACAAGAAATTAAGCTTTTTTCCCCCCAGGTCTCACAGAGAAGGATGTAGCAGGAAGGAATGGAACCTTTCTTTTTCAAAATATATTGTTCTCTTTCCTATTTTCTTCTAGAATATTTTCAGAAGAATTAGCTGCATTTCTTTTATTCTTTCCTTCACTATTAATTTTTCCCTTTCTTTGTTGCTTCCTGACTTTTAAAACTAAAATATTCCTTTCCAAAACTTCCATGCCTGTCCTACTTACTCTGGGAAGAAGAAAGCTCTAAATTATTGTGTATTTTGAGCACCTTGAAAATGAGCAGTTTGATGAATTCAACTGAATCACATTTGTTATTATTTCTCTAAGTACTATCAGTTATTGCTCTAAGGACATGGTATTTTGCTTCCTTTCTAGAAGGAAAAGAATAAGTTTCCTTGCATAACTCCAGATTGCATTCTTCAATTGTATTCCACTGTCCCACACAACGTGATCAAATTTGGGGTTCCAGAAACATGATGACTATAGTTAAAGATAGCAAACTCTTGAGTTCTGTTACTACTAAAAACCTAATTGAATGAGACAATATAAAGTCTCAATATTGACACTTTAAGATGTTGGGATATTCTCACCAGCAGTTGCAAATTCTTGAATTATAAGCTTTTAATTACAGTGTTAATATTAATCAAAAAAGGCTTTTTTTCATCTTTAAGGTTTTCTCCATTGGTTGTGCTCTCTTAGGGGTAGAGAAACTGCATTTAGTAACAGTCATAATCAGGATAAATTTGAAAATAAGTTTGTAAAAGAAGCATAATTTGTGAACAAATACTGGATTTATGACGCAAGTACTGGTATCGGGCAACACCATGCTGACAAAGAAACAGCAGTCCCCAAGCAGGCTACCTAATGCTGGTTGCTTCTCAAGAGCAATTAGGATTAGCCAGATCCACACAAGAGGTGGTAGGTTTTTAGTTCTTGCTACAACACTGAAGACACATAGTACTTAGAAAACATTTCAATGTTGATTGGACAGTTGAATGGGCTTCACGGTGGGAAATTAAGTGGAACATGGTGTTTATGACAGAATGCAACTTACAGCGCTTGCGTGAATTTAAAGAGAGCAAATTTATGTTTTCAGTTTCTTTAATATTTCCCCCTTCAACCAAGTTTCTTTCTCCATTATCAGAATGAAGGAAGAATATGAACAAAAATTCATTCCATTTCTTCTCTTAAAGCTTGTGAGGTCTTTTCTTATTATTATTATTGAGATAAGAAAATTGATTTACAACACTGTATATAATTTAGAGGAAGAGATTTATAATCCCAAAATTCTTTGTCTATAGATCGAGGGCCTGGGCCTTAAGAATTTCATTTCTCCATGATACTTAGCAAGGAAGGGGGTCTAAAAATGCACCCTGAGTCTGGCTGCTATCTGACCTCCAGTTATTCTGAAACAGTTTTTTTTTTTTTTTTGCTAAAGGAGAAATTTTCACCTGGACAGTGGATCACAAGGCTCTATATTTATATCTGTGCACATTTGTGTTACTACCTTTGAGCCTTTGTAACATGTATTAACACGTGAGGTCACTAATGGGCAGAGAAATCAACAGTTTAGTGGGAGTTAAGTGAAATCATTTATAGGAGCAGGTGAAGGAGCAAACCTTTGCAATGGGGACTATACTCCTGGGCCCTGTACAATTCTTTTTTTCAGAGAGTAGTTCATCTCTTTGTATTTTAAAAGACACTGTGCTTCAACATTTGTATAGTGTTTTCAAGGTCACTAGAAAAAGAATTCATAAGTACACTTTGAGCATCTATTTGGTACCTAAAACCATGTTTGTGGGTAGCTCACATAACCATTGTGTGAACTAATACTCAAATGGAGATGTCTAAATAATATAGGCCAGATAAGAAATGTAAAAAATCATACTAACAGTTATTTTCCCTGAAGCTAATAAATGCCAGGAAAATAGAAAGGCCTTCAACATGATTGTATTGTTTTGAACAAAAGGAGTGTGCTGTGATCAAATGAGAGAAGGGAATAATTTATTCTAAACGGGACATTTGGGGAAAGCCTCCTGGAAGACCTGCTACTGCCCTTGAATAAGTAATGTAACTGAGGGGGAGGGAGAAGGTTAGAAGATCTGAGTATAGTTGAAACAGTGGGCAGAGGAATGTGTGAGAAAACTGAACATGCAGGAGGGGCCCAGGAGGGCTGGGCAACTGTGTTTGGTTTTCATGCAGACAACAATGGATGATGAGGGTGAAGGTGAGTTGGGTCTATCACAAAAGCATTAAATGCTCTTGTGTACTATGATGTAGCCTGGGTACTATATTCTGAATAAAAGGTTTTAAATGGAAGAGTATACAATCACTTCACTACTTTTGGAAAATAATTCTGGGTATAGTATAAAGTATAGATTTAGAAGGAGCAACTGGAAATAGGATACTTGACTAGGAAGTTCATAGAGGAGACATGGGAATGCTGCTGTGAGAAATGAGGTCATTGGACGATTGCACAAGAAACAAAGAGCATTCCAAGGGATAGAAATGATTCGCCAGAAAAATAATTTGTGATTATCTCTGGAAGTGGCAGGAAATGAAAGATGGGATGAAATAAATGACTTTAACCAGGTTTTCTTGGGAAAACATGGTAGGTAACAGGTTCCCTGACAAGAATGGAATTTCTGGAAAAATTTCATTTGAGTTGCACAACCTAGCCATACTGCTGTGTATCAATAGCATTTTCCAATTCCTTTCAGCTTGAAATTTCAATGTGAAAATTTGATTTCACATTCTTTATGTGTGTGTGTATATATATAATATATATTATATATATAGGTATATACACACACATACATATATATATATATATATATTCAGTTCTCAAGCCACCAATCTACCTGACAAAGGGAAACTGTTCAAAAGAGATCATATAATGTGCTTGAATAGAGGAGAGACCAGGCCTGTGACTACTATATCTTGAACTGACAGGGAGGCAAAAATTGATTTCTACTCACTTAGGTATTCATGTGAAACTATAACATAAAAGACAGATTAGAAAGAGACAAAAAAAGTTTTTTAACATGTATACCTAGGTGACACCAAGGAAAAATGAGTGAGTAGAAGTTCCCTGCGGAAATCAGGGTTAAATATTATCTTCATAGGAATAGGGAAGGAATGTAGACCTCTTATGAGTTTTAGAAAATACATGATGTTTAGAAAGATGAATGTGTTCCTGGAAAAATATATGAAAAGTATGATAGTTTGTGACAAAATGTATGTAAATGTGGCATGGACTCCAGGTCTTCTGTGATGAGTCAGTCTTTCCTGATTGATGAAACTCCTGGGGAGGGGACAGATGATGATTGAGTTGTTTTTTGGAGGCTTTATCTTCAGGCAGGTAAAGGAAATTCAGAGAAAGCTCTCTCCCTGGAATGGCTATTTTTCAAGTGTTCAAAATAATCAGTACACCAAAGTAGTATATTTTGGGGTATTATATTTTGCTGTCCCTCAAAATAAAGACAGTATCTTAGAAATGACCATATAGACACCCATAAGGAACTTTATATAAGCAATGCCTCGAAGATATGACTTAAGTTTATTCTAAGCCTTGAGCTGTTTCTTCTTGAAAATAAATTTCACCTCTCATTTTCTCTTTATTTTTCCTTCCCATGCTGATGCTTTTAGAGGAAAAGTCCGGTAAGAAATAATGTCCTTTCCACATTTTGGACAAACATTATGTATTCTGTTCATTTCATCATCTACACAGCTACTGTATTAGTGTGTTTAAATCCAAACATGATTTTGAATTTTAAAAGCAAACATTTGTAGACCAGGACAAGGTGTAATTATGCTCCATGGTGAAAAGGGAAGTCAGTTACTTAAATGATTTTATATGTCTGTTATTAAGGGCCCAACGTAATTTTGCAATTATTTACTTCTGGCTCAATCACAGGCATAGGAGCAAATATTTTAAGTATAATGTTTCATTTATCACAGCTTTCATTTGAATTAGACCTTTTACTTTACATATGCCAACCATGAATTAGGCAAACATTTTTTTAAGGTAAATTTTTTGTTTAATGAAAGTATGATCATATCCTGAATGAACAAATACTGTGAAGCCAGCCTAGAAGAGGGAATCTTTCTTTTCTTTTTTCTGTGCTGAATCAGAAAAATATCTCCTCCTGTTATTATCAGAGATAGAAAAACAGGATCTTTTAAAAGTGCAAATCATCTCTTTTAATTGTCCTTTTTGTTACCAGTGGGTGATTTTTATTGGCAGCACAAATCTGATAGAATGCACTGACACCTTTTTTTTTTTTTTTAAAAAAAAGCAACAATCCAACAGGTCTATTAATCAACAAATAAACAAATGCTTCATTGTTCTCATCTCTGCTGCCCTGTTTATTTGGAACACATTGCCAGGACACAAATGCAGAGCTGATGTAGTTGACCTCCACTGGAAAATATGAAAATAATGTGTTTCCATATTAACGCACCAAGAAATGGTTGGTTAGTTCTACTTAACTCACCTAAATGGATGTAACCTCTCATCCTGCCCACTGACCCAAACCTGGCAGTGTCTGCACCAGGTGCAGGATGTAAACCTCCAGTAAGGTCATGTGATAGAAGGGAGGAAGAGCAGAAGACAGGATAGAACTAGGAAGAAAATATTACTTTTCAAAATATGGATCCAGAGTCTTTTTGTTTCCTTAAAAAATATACATATATATATATATATATATATATATACACACATATAGGCACTTATTACTATTACTAAAACTGTTGGTTCATTTGGGAGCAATCGAGAGTCAATGATCTATCCCACGTTAGATTAGGCATACAACTCTGTTGGTGCTTTTCTTTATATTTTGCCAATTTTATTTTCTCTCCTCGAACCCAAATCTTTCTCTGGATAATCTAAATTTGGCCTTTTCAATTGTTGACAGACATGTGTGGCTAGAAGTTTATCTGCAGTGACTTAAAAATTCTCTGTTCCTTATTGGTTTTCCTCCTGCTGTCCTTACAGCTGTTTTAACTACCAGTACTCCTTTTCATTGGTGGCTGTGTGTCTTTAAGGATGAGTCTTCCTCCCTCTTCCTTGTCTCATTTTTTTTGGAAACATCCATCATGTTGCCTGCTCAACTAGGGCAGTCATTAGTTGTCTCTGTTAGTAAAGGCTCTTTGTTTCTCTTCCCAAATGGAGCTTCAAAAGATGCTCTCTAGGGCCCCCCAGGTGGCGCAGAGGTTAATGTCTCAGTGCTATCAAGCTATTTCCTGTGGCTTGAGTTCTATCCATCCAGGCAGTGACTCACATAACACAGCAGACCTCTCCTGTCTTGTCCACTGCTCCACTCAGCAGTGTATTTCAATCATTCTACCTGTCCTTCTGCTCCTCACTCTGTCTCTGATGAATCCTTTCACTCCACACCTCTGGCCTAGAAACCAGTTCTTGTATGTATAAATAAATGAAAATGCATTTTTAAAAAAATAGACTCCACTAATTCCCATTGGGTATAATAGGCCTTCATTGTAATCTGACCTATAATCGATATAGGAATAAATTTAAATATAGATAAACACTTATTATCATAATTCTAATTCCTTCCTAGAAAGTTCTCTGACATGAATCATTGAATTTTCTATGACCAGCCTATATACAAATAATACGTTTGATGTTGTGCAGTTTTTCATTTATTTCCCTGTTTCCCCACAACTCTGAATTTAGCAAATGAATATATTTTAAAGTTTCAAAATCCAAGTAGTGATTTAGAGATTTTGACCAGCAGTTGAGACAGATTATTCTTGAGTACTTCTCATAAACATCTGCAAACATTTACTCATATTGGTTAATACTAAGATATACTAGTTTACTAAATTTAAATTAATTCTATTGTGCAAGAAATAAAAAAAAAGCTAGTGGGGGCTAAGAACATTACATGGACATGAAACTCAGTAACTGAAGTATTTTCCTTTAAGGAGATATATTCAAATCTCTTAACTATAAATTTTAGAAATAAAGCATTTTAACCAAAAATCTTCATTCTAGTGACCAAATCATAAATTACTATTCAACGATTTTGTGACTAACTCAAAATACAAAGTGAGAGCTATCTCTAAGTTGAACACCAAAATAAAACTAAGAGGACAATAAAATGTTTTTCAAAACCTTCTGCAGAATGCCTCACAAGATCAAAAGAAATCTAAGAATTAAACAAGTAATATTTTATTAGGAAACTTGTTTAGATAATGGATAGACCAATTGCAAAGCCCCTCTGTGATTAATCAGGTAGGAATAGTAAAAGCAAATAAAATTTACTGAAAACTTATTATGTGTGTTACAACTGTCTGCAGTAAGAGACAAATTGGCCACCTGCAAATTCTGAACAAGTGAACAGGTGTTTTTATTTGATTGTGCAGGTAAAGGCAATTTTAGCCTGCATTTAATAAACCAGAACATTTAAATTTTTAAAACATCAGAACATGCATCTTCTCACCTGAGTAGTGGCCAGTTTACAATAGTTTTATGAAACACACATGTCCTTACACACAACACTGCCAAGGAACAAAGTGATCCTTGTCCTGCATGCCTTTGAGTTTGCAACTGTGCAAGTAGATTGTTTAGTTTGTATATCAAAAACATTTATTTCCTTTTACCATTGAAACAAATTGTATAAATTGGAAAAACAAAGCAAAAATGGCAAAATATTTCAAAGTTCTTGGGAAATGACAAGACAAAGGGTAAAATAATAGGCAAGAAGTCCTCTCCCCCTGACTTATAATAATTTTGCTGTCTTTGTTCAGCATAGACTAAAACTACTTTTGCTTGATAATTAATATATAAAAATCCTTCAATTTGACTTCTGGAATTATTTTCCTTTTGAATATTTCAGATAGCTTTTCATATGGACCTTGTGGCTTTCTGACGCTGACCTCTCTGTAGTTTATAGCTGGGTCTTCTGGATTTTGATTAAAAACATGTGATTACTGAATTTGAATAACTGTTCCATGATGAAGGCAATTAGCAAAGGGAGTTTCCAAAATTCTATATAGTGAAATTGTCTTTTACATGAAAAAATATAAACAGAAACTATTGGTTTGCATTTAAGGTTTTATCTCCATATGTTAATAGTCTGTACTCTACCTTGCATTATTTCTCACAATTTCATTTTGGGAAATTGCATCACTTTTAATCCCTTCTTTGCTATAGCTTATGTTTTTTTTTAAGTCAAATGTTTGCCACAAAATTGAAGCTAGAATCATAAATCCCCACACTTCTGTCTCTGGTAAGAACTTTAGTCTGGCCATTAGAGAACTATAAATTCTAAATCTAAAAAATTACGGACTCTAAATAGAAGAGTGTTTAAGCTTTTCTCAAAACATAGTACGAATTAGGCAATAAGAATTTAAACCCAGGAATACATATTTATGAATGCTCTTTTTTTAATTTTATTTAAATTGCATCTATGCATATAAACAAAATTACAATCAATATTGAACAGTACCTGGAAGATAAGGCAAATAATGAAATCTAAATTATTACAAATTATCAACTGGAGTAAATATGTCTAAAGCCCGGATTACTACCAAAGCATTTCTAGAAGTAAGTATTTCCTCTGCTATAGAAATTCTCCAATAAGTTCCTGCTTAGAGTCCTAGAAAGTGTGAGAATAGAGACCAGAGAGCTAAATCCCATCTCTGGTTCTACCCATTTAGTAGTTGTATGTCTCATTCTCATTTCCCTCTATATCAACACAGCTAGACTCAGTATCCATTGGGGATTCCCACTTGAAAAAGACAAAGTTTTCATGTTCAAGATAGAACCATCCTCTTCACTTGATCAACTTCTAGAGACTTTTGTGTTTGTCCTCCTGGCCAGGATTTCTAAGATTTGGCCAATGCTCTTTCCCAGGAAGTCTCTGGTAAGTTATGACTTAGCCCATATCTTCAAGGTGGAAATCTAAGCAGCATTCCCTTTCCTAGTCACACCATTTTCATTCATCACTGCAGAGAAATCTTTGAGAGGGAGAACAGTCAGTGGGGTAAATAGGGAGCAGCCATAATTAAGACCTGAGTAATGAAACAGAGAATTCAGATGTTTGTCATGTTTTGCTGGACACTGCTTCACCAGGGCCCATGGTGCTGGAAAATTTTCATTTCACTTACTTGTGCTTGTCAGGTGTTTCTCAACTTCTCATTATATGCCTACTCCTTAATGAAAGCTGCCCAAATCACCAGGCAAACAACAGATACTTGCAAAATTAAGTATTCATCAGCACACATTGCATGGAAAACTAAAGAGAAGAGTCAGATAATAAAGAAATCTCTGTAAATTCCATTCTGAATTTGGAGTTTCCCTTTAGACCCCAATTACATCTATGATGTTTGCTATCACCCAGTAGCATGTGGGGAAACAGTTTTCCCCACATTGCATGTCCTTTAAAAATCCCCTTCCTCTCCACATTATCTAATAGGAAGAACTCCTATGACAAAACACCAAAACTGTCAATAAAATTTTCTTGTCTGTCTATGTCCTGTTTTTATGTACACGGAGCTAAAACCAATACATCTCCACTAGCAAAGCTATGTTATACAGTGGAGATTCTCCTGAGGTTTCTCCAAAAATCTCTTCATGGTTTGAAGAGGTCTCAGACAAGACAGACAAAGACTTTCTTTGGCCTGATTTTTTATTTGGAGCATATATTTGGTTCACTGTCTATAATGTCTTCTATTACCCAAGCCTGTTGACTGATCCATCATTCTCTGATTAGGTGTCTGTTCTCTCTTCCTTTTTGCTGATCACAGAGGCGCAGCCCGGTAAGAACCCTCAACATTTTTCCTTAAGCTTTTTTAAAGGAATTCGTTGCAAAGGCCAGATGACCAGGTTAACTTTAGTTAAATTTATGATAACTCAAGATGAATGAGGCAAATGAATTAGCTTTACACACTGTTTATACCAACATTTTTTAAGGATTTTCATAACAATAGGAATCAGAATTTATGTTAAATTTCAAAAATTAGTGGTGTGTGTGTGTATGTGTGTAAGTACAGCCTGGAGGTTGGCCAGAGAAACCAATCAAAGTTTATAAGTGATAGTAGTGATAATGTTAAAAGAGATGATAAGAAAACAATAAAAATGGAAATTAGTTGAAGCCACATTGTTTATAAGATTAAAATCCTATCATGTCCCTGGACTGACACATAATAACACATAATAATAATTTTCATCATGGGGAGAGGATACATCTTTCAAGTTAATACTCCTAGCCTGTCACAAAATTCTAATTTTATTACTGAAGAGAAATTAATATTACCTTTCACTGATCAAAGTGAAATCTCACTTATTTTCTTCAGGTTGAAGGATATGATTAATTTAAGTTAACTAAAGAAGGGTCTTTGCTGTGTTGGAGATGACCCTCATCTGCCTTGTTAGTACCTTAAGAGAGGAGACAAACTGAAGAGTACACCCTGATATATTCCGAGGCCCATGTGATTTGATGAATGAATTATTATTTGAAGCAAATATTTTGCCCCAACTGAGAATGAGTTACAGGGGCTGCTATTTAAGTGTGAATGATTCCTTACAAGTGACATCTGCAGTGTTGGCATGTTACACCTTTTTAAGGAAAAAAACTAATTTTAAGGAAAATTTAACTAAAAATGAAGGAATTTATTGACAATACAAGTATAAAGACAATCATTGAAATGATGAAAATGTGGCCATTTGATGAGGGGTTTTTTAATTCAGTGGACTTTTTTCCTGGTGTGGTTAGGATGGTGAATGTCACCTTAACTTTGTTCTGTATTTGTGGTGTGGCAATATGAAGGTCATTGAGGCTCTGTATGCCAGCTCCAGCTGACAATGGGATTTTCTTTTCTGTCGCTGCTGCTTGGCTGCTGGCTATTCAAAAACCCATCCTTTTAAAAACGATAGTGTTTTTATACTTCCTAATTTCTAAACAGCAGAATTTTCCTGTACTTTCGGCCAGGCTTTGTTTGCAATTAACTGGTGATTGTCCTTGCATGAGACATTTTTAATAAAAGTGGTATAGAGGTTTCTTCCTCAGTGCCTCTCTAGGTAAATGTCTATTGAATAACTTGATATACTTGGTATCAATTCATAAAATAAGTGTTGTTCCTTTCTTCATTTCATGAATATTATATTTATAATAAAAAGGATAGAACATAGAGACTGAAAGGTCTACATTATTCCCTTTGATTCTGTACAGGGCTTCAAGTCTCAAAGCATGATGCCACACCAATAGTGATCTACTTTCTCATAACACCCCTAAGAATCTTTCACAGTAGTTTTGAATAAAAGTCTTTATCCAATCAATTCTTCTGTTATTGAGATTAGTTTTGGCTAAAACTAGAATAACCTTCTCAGATTGTTCCAGCTAGGACATTCCAATAGCATCATAATGGCATGAGCTAAAGGAATGATTCCTAATTGGTAGGATGGTGAACCCTATGGGAGTCAAGTGGAAGAAAGTGTGGGCACTGATGGTGGGGAAGGTGAAATTAATTCCCTGATTCCTGCATAAAACAACCCATTTAGTGGCAATGCCTCGGAGGTTTTCTTCTCTTTAGTATACACCACTTATATCTTTAAAAATTGCCTTAGTAACTTAATGGCTCTTACTAACAACTCATGGATCTCATTTGATAAGAACAGACAGTATTCTTAATACATTCTATAATTTTCTAGCATCAACTGTATGTTAACTTTGTATTTACTTTCTTGTCTACTAGTTTGAAAAGTTGTTTTTTATTAATTGACTATAAAACATTTAATGTATCAAATACACTCAGGTAAGGGTATTTTATTTTTCTGATTGAGAAACTGGTAATTTATCCTGACTTTTTCTCTATAATCTAAGTAAAATAATAAACTGAGTTCTGTGTGTTTTTCTATAGTCTCCAATTTGAATGCAATTCTGAGAAAAATTCTATTTCTCCCACCTTCTTTTCTTTGAGTTCAGCTTAATTACTATGAGATAAATATTCATATTGTACATAAGATATATGTGGTCTTAAGCCTTATAGTGTCTATTTCTAATTCTAGGGTGCAATTAAAAGGAACTTATCCAGTAAGTATATCATAGCTACCAGAAATAGAGTATGATTAAAAGAAGGAATAGTTCCTTGGATCTTGGAGTATATATATGCTTGAATTATATAAACTTGGGCTTGATTTTTAAGGCTTACTATTGTTTTTACTTTTACAGCAAAGAAATCTTGTAATGATAAAGGGACTACATGGGTTTGGAATGAATAATGTTTAAATTCTGAAACTGAATATCTTGGGGAAAATATTTCTTTCTATATTGTTCAACTCTTATAAATGAATTTAATCAAGGATATATTGATGGGAGATAGAGAGAGGAGCAAGGCAGAAGAAAATGAGGACAGTGCAGTTTCTTATACATTGTAGTGTTATTTAACATGAAAATATTAGGCAACAAGAAGATATAATGTTGGTTATATTATACATAGGGCCTGATTTTCCTCTGCTGCATGCAACACTTTCTAGGGAATTCTAAATTCATGGTTCCAAGTTAAAAGAATAACATTTTCTTGGCATTTCAAATAGAGAACAGGGAGAGAGCTGGATTCATGTACAATATACATATGGTCTGGCTTAGTATTCTCTTATGGTAATAGGTAAGCTGAACTGATCAAGACAGCAGACATTAGAAGGATGGTATGCAATTCCGCTGAGTTGTGCAGTTATACAGATCTACTTGATAACTTATCTTGGTAGTTCCTTGGTTAATTAGGTTCTTCAAATGCCAAAGAAAATACTACTACATATGTTTAATATATGGCTTTTGCATTGCCAAAAGGAAGATTTGTTTTCTGGGTTTGTCTTGAAAAGTCTTCATATTGAATGGCTTATTGATGTAACTTAGATCTTTGTATTTCCAAATTTATCTTACAAGACATGTCAAAAGAAAATGGTAAAAATATTCCTAAGGATTTCCTTTTTCCTGTGTATCAGGTGAAGAGGTGGCGAGACCCAGGCGTTCCACACCAACTCCGGAACTTGTAAGGTGAGCCTGAAAGACATGAATTGTGTTTCATGCAAGCCATCCTGCAATCTTAACAAGTAAGCACATCTCATTTGGGCTAAACTCTGAGTTCCTATTAACATAGGACTATATGTGTAAGTTCATGGTTCAATATGTTTTTGTTTCACATGACTACAGCCCAACAAAGACCTTTAGGAAAGCATCTAAAGTAACATTTATCAGAATGCAATGTCCTCACTAATAGATATGCTAAAGTTATATATGATGAGTTCTTTTGATAGTTGAAATGCTAATCTGAAATATGGTTATATTGCTTCATAAAAGTAGTTTGTTCATAGGCCTCTGGTGGTTTAAGGGATTAAGTGTCAGCACTAGGAAGCTACCAGCAGCCACTGCAACATGAGTTCAATCCCCACCCAGGGAGCTGACCCACAGGGCACAGCAGACCTCTCCTGTCTCGCCTGCTGCTCCCCTCAGAAGTATTTTCAGTGGATCTGCCAGTTTCACCCCCCACTATGGCTCTTATGATCCTCTCACTCCCCCCTACAACTCTGACCTATATCCCAGTTTTTGTATGTATAAATAAATAAAAATAAATCTTTAGGGTCCTCCCTGGTGGTACAGCAGGTTGGAGCACAGCACTGTATTGCTGGCTGTGGACACTCAGTGCCAGTTCCATCCCCAGCCCTGGGGGTGATCCACATGGCAGACCTCTCCTAACCCACCCACCGCTCCTCTCAGCAGTACATTTCATTGATCTGACAGTTCTGTTCCCTACTCTCTCTGGTGAATTCTCTCATGATCCCTGCATCCCTGACCTGCCCCCCCCCAATCCGGAAGCAAAAAAAAAATAAAACCTTCCCAAAAAACCTTTTTTTTTTTAAGATTTATTTATGCATTCAGAACTGGGGTACAAGCCAGAGGTACAGGAGTGGTGAGGAGATTCACCAAGGACAGAGTGGAGAGCAGAACTGGCAGATTGATGATGTACACTGCTGAGGGGAGCAGCGGGCAGGCCAGGAGATGTCTGCCACGCCATGTGATCATCTCCTGGGTGGGCAATTGAACTCACACTGAAGTGGCTAGGGACTTGCTTACAGTGCTGCATCCTAACCCGTTGACCACCAGGGAGGGCCTCAAAAAAATCTTTAAAAAAAAAAGAAAGAAAAGAAGCCTGTTCAGTTGCAAACAATTTTATATTTTCTACTTGCCACACACTAAAAGAATCTTTGCTTGTGTTTATAGTTTTGGCAAAACATTGTATTTTATACTGTGTATTCTTGGAGAAAGAAAATACTGTACTAATAGGCATTGCTATTCCAAAGTACAGCTATTTGTATTTAAAAGTTGGATCATCTTCACTCCCTCTCCTTCTCCAACCCATCTCATCTCCTCTTTACATCCTCTTTACCTCTTATCCCCGCTACCTGCACTAGCTACACCTACTATTTTATTCAAACACAGACTTCCTTGGTGGGGACTCCCATTCCTGACTTTCACTAGTCACAAATTGTATCAACCTACAGCACAGATATATGGCAAATACAAATATAAATGGCTTTTGAGATATTTTCCTCCAAGTTTATTAGTCTGTCATTTACATATATAATTTGGAAGAACATCTGTATACTTCCATTGATGCACATGCTCCACTCAGCTTCCACCATATCTCTAATGCAAGTGCCTCAATCCCTTCCCTCCCCAGGGCCATCCTCCTTCTGCCCTTATTCTCCAGGTAACCAGTAGATGATTCAGTTTAAGTAGTCTTGCTGTGCTTTGATTTTTTTCCTTTGGCTCACAAGAAAAGGTAAAACCATCCAGTATTCATATTTCACTTTTTGATTTACTGCATTTAGCACCATTTCATCTTTTGTAATAGCTGTGCAGTATTCGACTGAGTATATAGTCCACAAATTCTTTATCCAATAGCTATTGGTTTTTGAGATCTTGGTGAGTAGTGTGTTTCACAGTAAACTTACCTTCCAGGTTAAAGAATCACAACGCTTTGAAAAAATATCTCTTCAACTCACTTCTCTTGGCCCAGGCTGAACAACTTTGTCCCCTATTGAGAACCAGGGATCTTACTTACTCATTACTACTTGTCTTGTCTACAATACATTTGATTTCCTACCAGGTATTCTACAAGCACTACAAGAACTTCTGTGAATGCATCCAAAGAAACAAGTACACACATGTACATCTACTTTACCATCAGCTATATTGTTTATATCCTTTCTAGCCTTAATATTTCCTTCATGTTTTTCTTTAATATGTGTGATCTAGCAAAAAACCTCCAGAAGACACCGTGGCTCTTGCACCCCTCTTTGGCCCACCATTAGAATCAGCGTTTGATGAACAGAAGACTGAAGGTAAAAATTAAGACAAATGTGTTTATCTATAGATGTGTTTTTCTTTTCAGTAAACTATAATTTTCCTAAGGTAAATGTAATCTTTCGAGGCAAATTTTTACTGTATCCTCATCTTCATGTGAAAGAACGTTTCTGAGTGAGCTGTGCTATGTGGGGGTTTCAATTGCAAACATCTAGTATTTTAGGATTTGAAATTTTACTTCCAGAAATATCTAATGGAAGCATTGCTACAAATCTATACAAATCACTGGTCAAGTGTAAGCACTCTAGGAGCCAAGCAGTTATCATTATGGAGCTAGACCTTCCAACTCCCCATCATAGTCACGGTTGTTGTGATTTAGCCCACATTTACTCATGTCCATTCATCAGCGGATGTGTTAGTCAGATTTGCTCACCCAACAAATATTGTTCACAAGCTGGAGACTCAGGAATGACCTTGCACATTTAACAGCTTTGAAAAATGTTTTTTAAAATGTTGTAAGGAAATATCATTTGGCCATTATTATGGAGCTTGTCTATTATTTATTCCTAGAGGTAAATATTTAGCTTTTTAAAATTAAACATCTTTTTTTCAAAGGCTATAAAAAATATATACCTTGCTTAACATAAAAGAAACTCTGACATAAAAGAAACTCTATAAAGGGGATCTAATATGTTCCTGAAATATATTGTTGCCCAATACCCACAAACCCCTAGTCATGGTGTTTCACAGTATTAGAATGTTTTATGAAAATCATTTGATCAGAGTATCAAATAGTATTTCCAGGGCCCATTGGTAAAGGAAATTAAAGTGTAAAAGACAATAAAATTTGAAAGCATAATGAACAGGCTAAGCTATAGTAACAAAGTTTCCATAGTACAGTGAATTAAACAAGATAGTTTATTTTTGTTTCATGCTAGCAGTGTCAGAGTAAACAATACAGGACTGTAGAGTGACAGTGCTGTCCCTAACATGTGGCCTTCATTTCTGAGTCCCAGGAGGCTGTTCCAGCTGTCAATATCCTCCACTGTCAATTCTTGGAAGAACAGCATCTGGAAGAAACATACATTACTTTGAACCAGAACCCATCAAAGACAATTCAGTGTCATTTGGTCAGAGAAAACTCTAACTATAGGTGGAATGGAAATGGATTTTATGAAATGGCAGCCAGACCCATCTGAATATTTTTCAATGATTAGTTAAGGAAATTTGTAAGGATCAGGCCTAACAACTCTTTAGATGATTTAAATGTTTGCAAATTTGTATCCCTAGGTAAAGGTATCCTTGCAGTAAGGCTAACAGTTATCCTGACTCATCTGTGACCCACTGCAGTTGTAATGACCTAATTACATAAGCAACTGAAAGTGGAGTTTGCGGTGTTACAACTGAATCTGTCTATTAAAGGAATTCCATAACTGGATGGAAACCTGATATACCAAAAAAAAAAAAAGTTCTTGAAAATCAAGGTGGTATTCCACTTTGAATCTATGAAAGAAAAATGGGTGCTTCATATCTTTGGAGAATGTTTGTATTTATGTTAAAACAAAACAGAACTAAGATTGCCCCATCTTTAATGCTCATGAGGGAGCAGAGGTACACACCTGGGACTTGTCCATGAGCCCAGTGTGGTTGTTTTTTAAATGATTTCAGATCCTGAAGTTCTATAAAACCCCAGCATTTGCATTAGGCATAGTTGTTTTTCAATACCCAGACTTATATTTTTTTATCTGCACACTTTGACTTCTTTGGATTAATTGTCCTACCACTAGTTTAAAATACCTAGGTGGAAAATGTGTGTTTTGAAGTCAGATGTGCAAACCTGGGTCAGGTCTTAGCAACTCTGTTTTTACCATATATGCTTTTGGGCAAGTTATATAATCACTCTAATCTTGGATATCCTCTTCTGAAAATGTTAAAAATATCAACCACATGGTGGTGGTGTGAGAACTGCAGGGGTAAATGGCTATCATTTTAAACATTATATATATATTTTATTTATATGTAATAAACTCTGGCATTCTTTTCATCACTCTCTGAGATTGACCTTACTCTTTTCACTTTGGACTGAAGGAAAGGAAACTCAGGTTAAAGATTGGTCTAAAATCCTCTACACAGTTAGTATAGAGGCCAAATTGGAATCCACATCTGCCTAACTTCTTCCTGCTTACATTTACAAAGTCACAAATTATAAGCAGCACTTATGTAGACCCTGGCACCTGTAGGTGCTGAGAAGAGCTATTATTCACAATGTCACCATAGCAACAAAAGCATCAGATGAGAAAGACAAAAGACATAGATGAAAGATTAGATTTAGTATTCTTAGAACCAACACCTAACTGCCCTGATTTACCTTAAATGTGTGAGCTCTATTTTTTATTTTCCTGATTATTTTGACATAGTATTTTAGAACACTTTATCTTTATGATGACATAAAGGTTTATTTAAAGACCCTTTAAAAATATGAAATAAGGCCCTCCCGGTGGTGCAGCGGGTTAAAGCACAGCACTAAGAAGCTAAAGCCACTTCCACATGAGTTCGATCCCGCCTGCCCCGGAGGAGATCCACATGGCGTGGCAGACCTTTCCTGACCCGCCTGCTGCTCCCCTCAGCAGTGTACTTCATCGATCTGCCTGTTCTGCCCCATGCTCTGTCTCTGGTGAATTCTCTCACCCTCCGTATCTCTGGCCTGTACCCCAGTTCTGTATGCATAAATAAATAAAAATCTTAAAAATATATATGAAATAAATAAGCAAGGACACTTTAAAAATATGAACCATTGTCCAGAGCTAGGCATTTTCATTTTTGAAACATAATCATAGCAAACTTTAAATAAACCATCTTAAAAGAAATGTCCATGGAAGTAATGCCTGGATTTCTAAATAGGTGGAAGAAATGAAGACAGTTTCCATACTGACATCCAGAACGTCCTTAAATGACCAGCCAAAGGAAAGTACAGATGCTGTTTTGAAAGGTTTTGTTTCCCTATATGTACACAGACAGACACACACCCACACACACATCCCACTCATTTCCATTCTCTGCTTGAAAAGAATGAGAAGCTGCACATTCCAAAATGAGTTTGCTAGTACTGAAGCAAGGAAGAGATAATTTTATGAAGCTCAGTTTAAATTGAAATTTTGAGTGCTAAAATCCAGGATATTTCATTTTTCAGCTCACCCTGGAAATTTTTCTTTTTATGTTTCCAGTTCTTTTAGATCAGCCAGAGATATGGGGCTCAGGCCAACCAATTAATCCAAGCATGGAGTCGCCAAAGTTAACAAGGTCTTTTCCCACTGGAAGTAAGTTATGTTTCTGCTCTGTCTGGAAAAATAAGTGAGTCATTTTACTGTCTGTCTGCATAGTGAAATTAGGCAACTCTTTAAAATCTATGTAAGCAACGTTTTGATTACATAATATTAAGCAGAAATGTTATTCTTAAGACTTTAGAGTTAAGGGGGTCTGAAACATATTGTCAAGGCAGAAATAATATAATAAAGGAAATTGTTAAATTTGAATCATAGCCTCTTGTGACACTCCTCAGACTCATTAATTTATTGGACCATATAACCATTCATTTAACATGTATATGTAGAGTGAGAAGCAAATGAGCTAAAGAATCTACTGGACTATTACAAAACACAAAGGTGAAGAAGTCATCTGTGGTCCCTGCTAGCCCTAAAACAACTGAGGCTATATGAGGCTATAGAAAGTATGAAATGAAAGACAAAAGTGATTACTGGAGAATAAGAAATATGAATCTATGTAGTAGAGAGAAACTGTAACAGGAGATAGGTCCAATTTATTGCAAAGCCCTGTTTATTCCAGAATTAGCTGCCCTGCTTATCCAATTAGGTCCCAACCACCCTCACATCCTCCTGAAGGATTTATTGCCCTTCAGCTGTGGTGAATTGATCTATTTGCACCAACAGTATTGCTCATTCTATCAAGCCACCTATTTGATGGATTTATTGAGTTGCCATCTTAGTAGACTTCCCTGAGCAGATTTGCATTTGGAAAGCATGCCCAGGGAGGAGAAATAAGTCTCAAAGAAAGGTGTCTGGAGGTAGCAAGAGGACAGAGGGTATGATCACTCTGTTAGGCTCACTACACGCAATTAATGTTTTTTACATTTTAGCATCCCTCGTACTATGGTTTTTGAGGCTTTGGAATAATCACAGGAGTTAGCCAAGGGGCTTCATAAACAAAGACCCAAACATTTCCAAATGTTGGAAATATTGCCATAAAGTTATTGATCCAGTTTTCCCAGGATGTTTCCCCACATAAAAAAAAAAAAAGCAAACAAACACTATTGTCAACAATCTTTTAAATGTCTGAATTTTCAAAGGTATATTTTTAACAGATTTGGACCCCAATGGCTTGATTTTGAATGTTTCTCAGTGCTGCTGGCAAGCAAATCTACTGTAAAAACTAACCTCCTTGAAGAGCTTTCTTTACATACTGGAGCTGTCCAAAAATTATTCCTAAAATCCCTTCCTAAAAGCCAAGAGAGTATTATAAATGAAATGTTTATGTAGATGATGTCTTGGTTTTTAAATCTAACTATTGGCATTTTATAGCATTTTCTATATTTTGTGCATGTTTACACTTAGTCCAGTCTCATTAATGCATTGTCTGTAATTCTGCTCATTGCTTGGTTACAGCATGTTTATTACTTTATTAGTTTTTTATGGGATTTTTCTTTTATGAATTTTTGTGATTATTATCTCAATTTTTGCAAAGATTATTAATCAATAACAGAGCCCATGACTGACTTAACTTTTCTCAAAAATATGATCCATTGGAGGTGTGGTTCTCAAAAGATTATAACTAAAGTTAAGAACCACATATTCCTGGGCTTTAGGTTGATAGTTATTAGGTGAAAGAACATCATTGTTCTAAAAGTCAGCAGGGAAGGAATGGCAAGGGGGCTTCTCTCTAACATATGCAAGTGGAGGGTACTGGCAAGAGGTCTCCAGCTAGCACCCCACCAAACACTTTGCATTTAAGTTATGAATGACAGGGTCATTTTGAGGTTCTCTTCTAAACTTGGGGTTGGTTGATAAGATTAGTATGAACTCTTTAAGAAACATACATTTAAAGAAATTATAAGGGGGAAAAAATGTAACTTTAAAGCAATTCTTCCAAACTTTGCCCACCAAAGTGACAATCCTGTTCAGAAGGGTGAGTCTCTGAAGGCTGAGTTGCAATATGATACTTTTTCTGTCTCACAGTTTTGGGTTATAATTTTTTTCAAAGGAATCTGTTCATTCTCCCTAGCTCCAAAATACTTGATGTCAGACTTTCAAAAATATACCAAATATTAAGAAATCTTTCAAGACTCAATTCAGGTAATATCCTGATTGTATTAAAATCTCCTCCTTAGAGCTCCCTCCCAAGCTCTTCTCAATTCTTGATCACACCCTGGATGGTAATTTTCTGTTGCTATTCATTCATTCAGTCATGAATGCTCCTTTCATTCAACACTACCTCTCTAGTTTCTAGTACAAGATATGGGACTTACTTAGTGCTTGAGGTTTGTCAAATAAAGGGATGGCATTATTTTGACAGATTCTTATCAGAAGATGTAAGAACTAAGTGGATCTCACTTTTGTCTTTTAGCTTTAAAAATTACACTACTAGGTGGCTATTTGATTTCTAATAGCTCTTATTTGTAAAAACCCAAATCCTGCTGATAGAATATTGTATAATATTATGTCAACTAGTCAATAATGTTAGACTTATCATCTCTTTACAGCACCTCCACCACTGCCTCCAAAAAATATACCAGCCACCCCACCCCGAACAGGCTCCCCCTTAACAGTTGCCCCAGGTAAGCTTTAGCTTATTTCTGTTTTGGGATGAAATGGTAATCAGAGCATGTTCCTGACATTTCAGCAGGTGAAAGCTAGATGTAAGATGAAAATGTGGGCATCTAGTTTTTAAATTGTAATGAAAGTAAATTACAATTTATTATGCATACTTATTTTAAAGTCTTATTCCCAGATTAAAAAAAAAAAGTAAATTTACTTTTCAACTAATTTTCCTCCATGCTCTGTGTAAATTGCTGAATGAAGGTCACATTCACTTGTAAGAGAAGAAAAAAGCCTTTACCAGAATTCATTGTTTGACATTTTATTCCATTGAATCTTTCTTTTCATGATTTACAATTTGAAAGTCTCAAGGTCCAACTTGTATTTTTCCAAGAACAGGTTTATTTTATTTTCTAGAATTTAACTTGCTTATGAAAACATAAAATGCCACACAGGCAAGCATGGGTAGTAGAGAACTTTTTTTCCCAGTAGACATTAGAGTATTTATTAAACCATGGCAAAGAAATGTGTAAGAATGATGAAATATGGGAAGGAATTGCTGCATGCCTTTAGACAGCTAATTTCTAAGTTGCGTCTTTACCTTCTGCTAAAATCAATACTACATATTAAATTGTATAAACTGGCTAGTCTTATTGGACTAACAGGTCAAAAACAGTAATAGTTATGCAAATGGTTCTTCATCATCTTCCAACTATTCCATACTGTTGCAACTTCATCTTCAACTATTTATGTAGCCTGGTGAATTTGATAGCTCTGAAGTAGGATATTTATCAATAAGAGTGAACATAAGACATTTTTTTCTGAAACAGAAAACTCATCTGGAGTCTCATAAACATTGCAATTATTTTGGCCCTTGGTATTTCCATAAATGTGTTAGGTTTAAATAAATCTACCAGTAACAAAATTATAAATAAAGTAGGCCATGCAAACTGCTGCCCCATTTATCTGTTTCACTGGAACCTTGAAGGTTAACTCCTTTAAACATGAAATATGAAAGTATTAAGCTAGTTCTTATAACCAAAGGTTATTTAACTGTATACCTGTTTCTGCTCATGTCTTGCAATTATTTACATAACAGTTTCTATTTGAATAACCTGTTTTTAAAAAAGCACACTTCCTCATCTTACAACTGCTATCAAGTATTTCCTGCCAAGTTATAGAGGGTAGTTTTTAATTTTTTTTTTTCTTTTTTACTGATAAGAATTAAAGAGATTGAATAACTATTGCTAACATTTAACCAAAATAGAGACTTTTCTGTTTCATGTTTTCAAACAGATAAGTATGACAACTATACCTGTTATGTTAACAGATTAGACTTAATGAGAAAAGAAGTTATAAAGATAATAATTTTCTTCCTTCTTAAACAGTTATACATGTAATGGTCCTAATATATAGTAAAAGTTTTCTAATAACTATGTCTGTGTTGTGTGTGGGGTGTGTATGTGTGTGTTGGCAAATATACATATGAGGGCAGCCCTTTAAATAATCATTGTACTATATTTCTAGTGTATTTAAGGTGAAGGATGAACAGCTAATTATGATGTGATCAGTTTTTCAACTAACTTGTTCTAATTAGTTTCATAAAGTACTTGCCCTGAATATGTAAAACAATCTTGATCAAACATTAGGAGGTGATTTTTTGGTTATCAATTCTTTTTTTTTACAGTCTTGTGAGCAGTATTTGAAAGCAATAGTAATTAAGGTGATGATCATGGGACTCACTGTGTCACCCTGCAAAAGGGTGTTTTGCATTAAAAAACACTGCATTGAATGATGTTTTACATCAAAATATGTTCTCACATTAGGGATGTAGCATTTAAGAAATATATTCCACTGTGAGAACTCACAGGCCATTAAATTACCAGGCTTTGCCTACCCCCTCAGTGCCCCCTTACAAAAATAATATTAATGAAGTCAATTAAAGTTTAAAATCAACTACTTTAACCACAGGAAATGACCAGTCAGCCACAGAGGTCAAAATTGAAAAACTACCATCCATCAATGACTTGGACAGCATTTTTGGCCCAGTGTTGTCCCCCAAGTCTGTCGCTGTTAATGCTGAAGAAAAGTGGGTCCATTTTTCTGATACATCCCCGGAACATGTTACTCCAGAGTTGACTCCAAGGCAACAGGTGGTATCCCCACCAGCTGCACCAGACAACCCAGCTGACTCCCCAGCTCCTGGATCCCCTGGCCCCACAGGGCCTCCAGGACCCCCAGGGCCTCCTGGTCCTCCTCGCAGTGTACCATCGCCACTCAATTTAGAAGAAGTCCAGAAGAAAATCACTGAGCAGACCTTCATTAAAGATGATTACTTAGAAACTATCTCATCTCCTAAAGATTTTGGGTTGGGACAAAGAGCAACTCCGCCTCCCCCACCACCACCCACCTACAGGACTGTGGTTTCATCCCCTGGACCTGGCTCGGGCAGTGGTACGGGGACCACCAGTGGTACGTCTTAATGTTTGAGTGTGCTCGTGTGACAGGGAATGGCCGCGGCTGCTGCAGTGTGAGCAAAGCCCTCCTCCTGCCTGGCAGTTGGCTTTAGAGCTTCAGCCATCCCTCCTCTGGTTTGGGTGTCCCGTGGCCCCATGGCATGTCCTAGTCCATCAAATGCTCGCAGTCATAGTGCAAGTGTGTGGATGTGTCTGCCCTGCACTCCCAGCCCTCAGGAGAGCCTACCTGCCACTACTCAGTTAGGAAGTGCATTTTTCAAGGATGCTGATGTCATTATTTAGAATTCAGAAAGTTCTTAAAAGACATGAGTCATGTGACGTGTCTGATTTCCTTGTCAGAGGCCTCTACAAGTTTTTAAATTTGTTTTGTTTTGCTTTCAACTTTATTGCAGTATAATTCGCAAATAAAATTGTAAGATATTTGAGGTATATAGAGTTGATGAGTTAATATACATAAACATTTTGAACGTATTCCCCTCATTGAACTAACACCTTCATCACCTCATGTATTTACCTTCTTTTGATGAGAATGTTTTAGCTTTGTACTATCAGTGAATTTCCATCATACAATATAGTGGTACTAATTATGTCGTAGAGTTCAATAGTCATTGTATTTGTTCATAATCATCATATAACACATCAGATCTTCAGACTTGAAGATCTTATAACTGCAAGTGTGTAGTTTTTTCTCCAAAGTTCCTAATAGGTCAATTGATATTTTCTTCTTGTTCTAACTCCTTCTTTTCCTTCTCCTTCCATCCTCCCTTCCTCTTTCTTTCTTTCTTTCTCTCTCTCTCTCTCAAGGAGAAATATATGTTAATCTCTGTACTTCAGAAAATAAAGCTTAAATAGGAAATAAAAAAAGAGGGCCCCTTAGGTTCCATCTCCAACCTAATCAAGTTGCCTCTAGAGACAGATTTTTCTCCAACTTCACTTCCAGCTGCTCACTAGCCTGTGAAGTCAACTCTAAGTATCTTGACAGGTGGTGGAAATGTCTATCAAAAATGTATGTTTTGAAGACTTTATACAGTGTTTACACTACATTTGATTTTTTTAGTTTTCTTTATTTGAAACTTCATTTGTGTTTGTTAACTATGAAAATATGGAAACACTTGCCATGTGTACCAAAGAAACATCAAGGTTTTTCTAAGTATCTTCTCCCATATTATTTATGCCATTGGGCTCACCTTTGTATGACACCTTTCTCCAGGGCCTTTTCTCCTGTGTCTGTGAGTTCAGTTTAGGTGCCTTCCTGGGAATGCCATAGGCTACTTGTCTTTCACTACCCAAATAAGTTTGGGAAATAATATTGAAACAAATTTAGCAGACTTCATAACCAAAGTACCTCTAAGCATCTTTATTTATCTAATGATAGCAGATATAGTTTCCTACCCTGGGCACTATCTAAGTACTTCATGCATGACATTTTCATCCTTACAACAATCCATGTCATAAGTGCTTTTATTTCATTTATTTTACAGACAGGAAAACTAAAGTTCAAAGATGGCACATGATTTGCCCAAGTTTACAAAGCTAGAGGTGATAGACGGGGATTCATTCTCAAGTCTGTGTAGTCCCAACCTCTGTTCTTAACCACTATTCTTTCCAGGTACACTTGAAAGGTTTCGTCACAAAATACCCACAGCAAATTTATGTGATAACTGACACGCATTGATTCTTCACATTTTCATTAACAAGATCACTAAAAATCTCTCAAAAATGTCTATATTCTGTGCTCCATTCTATTACCACAGAGAGCTAGAGTACTTACCTCCATTCTTTTGTTCTTTTTAGCTCTATTAGTTCTTTTGGGGGATTGAAGTCTCCTTATCTATTTATCTATAAAGGGCCCCTAGGGAAAGCCTTCAGTTCATACATCAACCCCACAAAAGCTGGCTGTTTCTTGTGAGAAACATGTTTCTATCATTCCTTGGAACATCTGTCCTGTACCAGCCTCTCACTCTTCTGAAAGGACTTTTTGAGGACTGATTCCCTGTCTCCATTGGTGGACCCCTAAAGTCTCCTCCTATTAATATGCCTGGAGGGATGGAAGACAGGACAACTCACTTGTGTTTTTCTCAACACCTTCTATAAGGCTTTAGGAGAGACTTATTTAGTTGTATTGACCCTGATCTAATGAGTGAAGAGATAGACTTTGGCTTTCTTTCCAGAATCTAGGAATTTTATTGTTTAAATGTTTAACTGCCATGACCTTATTTGGAATTATTTAAAAATATTACCAGTAAAGACTCTCAATTCTTAATAATTGGGCTGGGAAAAAAACTATATTTTGTTGGTATTAAAGGATTGAATTTCTAAGAGGAAGATTGAACTGGGTCAGTGAAGCTCATGAATAAATAACTCTTTGCACCATTATCTCTTTAATTAAGTCCCAGTTTATTTGCTGTTTAATGTTTTATTGATGGAATATACACAGACTAGCAGAAATGTAAATTTAGGATTAAAACAATAGAATTGTCTTCATGTTTTAAAGATGAGCAACAATTCTCACTACTCACTTTTTATAACAATAATATGAGACAGACTATTCCAGGAGTTCTCAATCTATATTTAATTGGATACCAACATGCTCACTTTTTAAATTTTGTTCATAATAAGGTATGCAAGTTTAAACAGAATTTATAGTGAATCAGAAGAGTTATCAGCTGTTGAAAGCAGTAGAAGTTAAGAGTTCGCTTCAGAAAGTTTCATTTCACTATGGTAAAAGTTAAAATACCTAGTTTGGCCAGAAAATTGCTTACTGGAATGTAGACTGATTCTTGGCTAAGACTATCTCTTCCTTGTGGGTTATGTGCCAGGGGCTAGAAGGGAGAGCTTTTTTAGGCCCACAGCAAATTTTGGAGGCAAGGTAAGAGAGGTAGTAGTAAAGATGAATGTTCACTGCAGATTTTCCAACTTGGAAAAATAAGGGAATATTAAAACTTGTACATACACACATACACACACACACACACACACACACACACACACACAAGTAAGACTAGGCTATCTGAGATTGCATTAAACAAATGTTTCCTAACAGTAAGTCTTTTTAGGGGAACAGTGTCCAATATAGAAGGCTAGCCTTGAGTGACTATTTTAATATGAAATGTAATTAATTAAAATTTAAAAGATATTCTTCAGTTGCAGTCACTAAAATTCAATGGGTATACTCAATGGGTATATGTGGCTAGTGACTGTTATTGGACAGTATTTGTCTAGAACATTTTTCCAGTTGCATGAAGCTTGATTGTACACTACTATTTTAGGGTGTATAATGCACTTTTAATGGACACCAAAAAGAGAAATACAGTAATTGACTGTCCTCACACATTGTTTAATACTTTCTCTGAAAGAAAATGGTCTATTGTCTTCCAAGAAATACAATTTGGAAAAAGACTGCATATTCCCTTTAGATATTTTGAAGTGCATATATTTTAATTTGCTAGATTCTCCCAGCCATATTGTGATGTATTAGCCTCATTTTGCAGGTAATGAAAGTTCAGTGATGTAACTTAGTTATCATTGGAAAACTAATGATTATATCCCGCAGATCTGTTGGAGTCCACCTACATCTTATCCCAAGCAGCCCCTACTGCATTGCATGTGTACATACCTGCACACACACACAGAGGCACACAAGATTATGGAGCTCTCTCTGGTTCAGTGGTGAAAACCCCCTTCAAGCTTTGAATATCCTCTCTTAGCCTCAGGGTTCTGTCAAGCAAAATTTTGTTTCATAAATACTCCTATCGTGTCTTTGTAACTGCACAACAAATCAATTAAATCAATTCAGTAAGGGAAAAATTAAATGTGGTGTCTGTAAATAGGAAAATAAAACAACTAACTACTCACTTTTTCTCTGCTTTTATCTGTATGTGTATCAAAAGATACAATTCTTACCATCATCTTCGACAATCTACTGCTTTACATTTATATATTTTACAATTTAATAAACACTTTCATAAGCATTTCCCATTTCAACTATTACAACTCCCTTGTAAGGTAGAAACAGTTTATTTTTTAAAACAGGAAGCTGAGGCTTAGCAAGGGTAATATCTCACCACTGAGAAGAAATAGGCAGATCATCTGACCATCTAGTTTTTTCAGGATCCACACTGCCTTGATGCTAACTCCTAACTACTTTCCCAAGGTTACTAAGTGTGGTCTTTAAAATGTATCTTCTGGAATATATAGGAAAAGCAGCTGATGTTTCCTGAGATGATTCAAAAGATCATTTCTTGGGGGTAGAAGCATGAATAGACATTTTACACCATCCCTATGGTATTGTTTTCCTAGAACTAATAGAAACCAGAGAAAAACCCCATGAAAAAATATACTTGGTATCTTGAGAGAAATCTTAAAACTAACTGAAAAGAAAACTTCATAGTGGGACCTGTCAAAACATACTTTTTTTTTCTTACTCAAGAGAATATTAATCAAAGACTTAAGAATATTTATATGAAGAACAGTATGTACAAACCTACAATACACAAATAAGACCAAGCTTTATGACCAGGACAAAATAAATGTGGGACTTCACAGTCCACTGAGATCCACAAAATATTTAAAACATTAGTCTTTGGAATTAAACAGAGTATTTGAGCTCTGTTACCTTGGGCAAGTTACTGAGCTTCTCTGAACTTTAATTATCATTGAGATAACAAGAACAACCTCCACAGTTTATAAGTCTTAGTCTAATAAATTACAAAGTAAAAATACAATAAGAAAGTGGTAAAGATGATAATTAGTAAGATTTCACAACTAAAGAAATTACACTTAGAATAAACCATACAGAAGGGCAATGTTCCCTCCCCTCACCACTCTTAGGGTCTCTTCTAAGGCAAGAGTGCATTCTGAGATGATTTTTGCTACTCCAAAGCTCTTTGAGAATATGAAAATCTATATGCTGGCCTAGAACTTTCCAGAACACATGTTGTGAGAGGCAGGTGGGACTAGTGGTGATTGGCGGTGGGGAGACATGGGGTAGTATTTTCCTAGAGCAGGATTTCTTAGAATTTTCTTGTAATGACTTGATGTTGATGTTTTAAACAAAGTGACAAAGCTATAGGAGTCATTAGAACTTTGCTGACCAAGAACTGTTTAGTGCAGTCATTTGTCTTTTGTAAAGTCTTTAGCCAGGCGGCTTACTCGTGTATCCCAGACATATGACTGAAGAAGGGCAGAACCCTGAGTCTAGACATTATACTAGTGTGCTGATGAGTGTGCATGCCAGCCTCTGTGTGTCATCTGTGTTTCAGATGATTGTCATTGACAGCCAGAAAAGTAAATCCGAGATGCTCCTTTAAATACCATCCCCTAAATCATCACAGGCAATGTAGACTAGACCCCTAAACAGCCTCCTTCATAAAATTAAATCCTGAAAATCCCATATTTCTCTTATTAAGATTCTGTACACAAATTACTCCTATAGCAACTGACTTAGTTGCTGGTGGTTTGTCCTTTGCTTCCATCAAGAGTTAGCACTCATATTTTAAAGCACAATTAAAGAACAATTTTCTTAAATTAGTTTTAAATATGAATATGAAACATTAGTCATCTTTCTTCAAGTTCTAACCTTGTCACCTAGAATATAAATAAATTCGGAAGATGCACCAAGCAAGAGAACTCATCCTAACTTTTGGGTGCGTATGGCCCAAATGCATGGGACCACCACCAGCCAAAAGTATCTTAGAAATTTCTTTTCTGTCACAAACAAAAGGATTTACCTTTCACTGGATGTCACATGACAACAAAGGACAATGAGCTTCAGCTTCTGCCATCAACCATAGTCCAACAGAGTGATATTTTTCTTTATTAAAAAAAGAAAAACATACACCACATGCAAGAATGTTGAGTAAATGAGCTGCTGAGGTGGAAAAAAAGCAATGGGGTCTGGCATTGTACTGTGGGAATGGGAGGAGCAACAAGCGATGCTGGTGCTTTGGCCACCTGGGTCCAGCCTTTTCTAACACCAGCTTGTTTTTCAGGTGCATCATCCCCTGCTCGGCCTGCCACACCCCTGGTTCCTTGCAGCAGTACCACCCCTCCTCCACCTCCTCCCCGACCTCCATCTCGGCCAAAGCTACCTCCAGGAAAGCCTGGAGTTGGAGATGTGGTAGGTCACCTTCTGTCCCAACGTGCTCAGAGACTGACGGTGAGAATGACAAACAGAAGCCAAAATGCCACCATGAGCCATCTGAACCTCGAGTCTAGTCTTAGAGCATTGATACAAACAAATGGCCCTGATAAGGGGCACCTGAGACTGGGCAACTGTGGTGCGGTGTTGCTTGCCTGTAAACCCTGCCCCTTGGGAGGCTGAGATTGGATGATTGCTTAAGCCCAGGGCTGGAGTGCACTTTGCTGATCAGGTGTACTAAGTTTGGTATCCGTACAGTGACCTGAAAGCAGAGGACCATCAGGGTGCCTGAGGGCTGTGAACAGGCCCAGATCAGAAACAGGTATAAATTTCAACTCTCTTCTAGTCCCTGCCATCTTTCAAGTTAAGGTCTGAAGCACCAAGACTTGGCTGACTTGGAATGTATTCTAGCATAGGCAAATGGTTGAGGGAGATAGTGAATTTCAGCCACAAATTTCTGAAGTCAATGTTTCAACACTTCCTCCCTTCATTACAATGTATATTTTAATATTTCCTAGGACCTTGAGACAAAATTGGGGTCAGTGTGGCAGGAAGGTCCTAAAACCATTAATTCTGCTACAATGGATTTGATGCAAATTAAGATAGTAATGTTCAATTGTGGCAAATCCTTTAGAAAGTGAACTGTTTGTTCTCACTGTGTTTATTTGATTTTGAAAGGCTGCAAGAAAAAGCAAGCCCTCATTTCTGTACCCAGCCAACAGAGAAGTTATTGGTGGTAGGCACACTCTCTGAGCATAAACAAAAGTGGTGGCCAGTGATGAATTTGTTCCAGACATTTCTTGCATTTAGTTTTTAGGCTGAGAAGGAAAGTATTCTGTGTGAACAATTAAGAGACTGTTGATAAATGTAAATTCTTTGGTATCCTACAAGAATCACATGCTGGTGATGTCCATATTTGCTTTCACTAACAAAGCACAGCGTTTTTTATTTAAATTTCTCTAAGGAGATAGAAACTCAGGCACTGTTACCTTCTTAGTCCAGGTGCACAATCTGGAAACCTTGGTGCCCACACTACTCATCTCAATTTCTGTTAGCCCATTGTGGTTTTTGGCTCCTGAGCTCCATCCACAAGCTCCTGTATAGCTATGGTCAAAATCAGTTTCAAAATGGTGTCACTTGTACTATTTTTAAGAATGTGAGTCCCACATGTGGGTCTCAGAAACATTAAAAACATCAAACAAAAATATAATGACCTATGTATCTAACATTCCATCTCTTTCCTTCTCCCTGCAGCCCAGACCTTTTAGCCCTCCCGTACATTCCTCCAGTCCACCTCCAATAGCACCCTTAGCCCGGGCTGAAAGCACTTCTTCAATATCGTCCACCAATTCTTTGAGTGCAGCCACCACTCCCACAGTTGGTAAAAATTATCTCCTCTCTTTTGATCTGTTTGTGGTTTTGACCGGCCATTTTCTATGTCTGAAATTTCAAGGCCTTATGTTTCTGGTGGAAATTGTTTTGCTGTGTGTTTTGCTACTATCATGTGACTCTTCTTTTAAAAGCACCTTCTCAGCAAAGGAGGCAAAGTGCCTTACATGCTAAACACAGGAATTCTCGCATGCTATGATGTACAGAGCTATTGGTAAATGTAAAGAAGAAATCATCAAGTAAGGTCCTGTCACTATGATATTATTACTTATAAGTCTCCTTTGAGGGGTAATGTTTATTTAAATTCCAACCATGTACCACATCAGCAGTAACAAAATTTAGAGCTTTTGTTTTCTTGAAGCATTCATTTCTTCATCACTTTTTGATATTTTTTCTAGTGTTTTTCAGTGATGTGTGGTCAATTTCCTTGTGAAATAATTCATTGCTAGCATTCTCAGTAAATATCTTTGTGCCCCTTTCCTTATGGTGTGATGAAAGTGAAGAGTTAAGAATGGCTGCTCAGCTGGATGGTTTTCCCAGGTCTTAAATGACTCATTTTGCCTGGGGTCCCTCTTCCCAAGGCTGGTCTCTCTCTGCACTGCTGTATCTATCTCCATAGTCTCCTGCTGCCTCCCGTGTTTGCATGGCATCTCTGACCTGGGGCTCCCCAACCTTCCCCATCCATGTTTTCTCCTGCAACCTCCATTCCCCCATTGTGTTCCTTTGTTGTCTGAACTTCCCTCCATGACTACAATGTTTTAAACCAGCTGACCCATCCCGTGTTACTTACATGAATCAGAAACCACAATGAAATAAATGACTGAGAGGACACTATTCTGTTTTCTGTGTGAAAAGTGGTTTGATCAAAGCTTAAAGTTCTTCTGAAGAACTTTCAGTTTTCCTAAGGTGTATATCTTAGGGTTCCCAAATGGAATATCAACTATGCCCTATGCTCTGGAATTCTAGTCAGACCAGCATCAACAAATCCTTGCATTTGATGAAAATATAGCCAGCTATCCAAGTTCATATGAATCATTCACAGACAAATATTTAGCATTCATACAGCCAAGACTATTGTGTATCTGCATCATTAATTATGGCAATTTGGGGTTTTATATTTTTAGATGTTTATTAGCTCATCACTGTCTGGGATTTTGTTTTGTATTTTCTGTAACATCCCAACCTTGTTTTCGAACCTTCCTTAATACTCTTGATTGCTGCAGCCATTTCCCCTCCTCCTGTTCTTTTTTTATTCTTCATGATCATTTGTTCCACTCGCTCCAGTGATTTTCCTGGTTGGTCAGAGAGGACAGTAAGAAGAATAAACTGTCACTCAGGAAGGAGGCCTCAAATGACCTCAGAGGACCATCTAACATGCTCTATCAGTTCATTAAGATTCATAGAGAAAATTGCACACACAGGGAATTTGAACTGCGTCCATCTTTTGTTCGATATGTTTTTATGCTCCCTGCTGCCAAATCTGAAATCCTGCCCAGTGACTTTTATTTTTAACACATCTAGTATACATTCTTTCAAGATGAATCACAGTAGGGCTTAACTCAAAAAAAAGCCACCAAAGAGGACATTGCTTCATTGCTGAGAGGCCTTCTGATTTGATCTGTTTGGCTCCATTGTTTTTATTTCGTTTCCAACTCTCCACTACATTTCTCACTCTCTTGTTCTTTATTTCCTCCTCCTGTGAGTCACCTGACAATCATTTCTCTTTGAAGTAAATACGGTGTCAAATGACTGACAGCCCAGCAGCGTCCCATGTGTTGCTATTTTTCTCTTTTTGGAAGGATGAGCTTTAACTGTTCAACACCAAAGCCTGGCTGCCTTGGAGAGTGAAATTAGCATAAGCAGACTGTTTGAGGGAGGTAGAGAATTCCAGCCACAAATTTCTGAAGTTGATGGCTCAACATTACTGTCACTAAAAATTTTTTTTGACACTTTCTATGACCTTGAGCCTATATTGGGGCAAGTGTGGGGGGAACCAATAAGCACTGCTTAACATAGTCAAGGACTAGATTTCTAAGAACAATTCTAATACTATACACAACAACTCATCTAAGACTATGCTCCTGGAAGATTTTGAATATGAAATCTTCCATGAGTGGTAAATCTGATGCCATATCAGAAAGTAAGAACCTTCTGTCTATTGTCATATTCCAACATTAAAACCTCCTATGCAACTGTGGTTCACTGAATTTAAGACACCCCATATTAGAAGATGTGCTGCTATTTTATATCTGACCAAGGAAGGGAGAGAAAAACCTCCGCTTGAACTAAAACATAATGCTTGCTTCTTGCATTGATTTTAAAATCCTTTCCAATTTCAGAAAAGTCAAAATGTGTAAAAGTATACATCTTAGAATCAATGAAATACAATAAATTGCCTTTGCACTCACAAAAGCACATAGGACTTTTACTTTTTGATTTGGGCGGGGGGATCTATTATCATAATAGAGAAAACATTAAGCTCTGTCTAAGAAACAAATTCCAAGACAGTTAGAGATATAGATAAATAAAACTATCTCTAATTGTAAATATCCATTTTTGTTTCTGGTTTCTATTTCCATGAGTAATAATTTCTTAGATGTTTGCAAACATTTTCATTTGGGAGCCCAGTACAAAGAGGCCAACATAAAGACATTTTTTTCTTCATTGTATATGCACTGTTAATTACATTCCTCCATTGTTAATTAAAATCCCAAGAATCTGTAATGCATCTTTAAAAATTGCATCTTTAAAATCCCAAGAATCTGTAATGAATGAAAAGTGATCATTTATAGGCACTAAAGGAAGCATCAAATAGATTTTGATGCTTCCTTTGTTTTAGAACTTGGAGCACAAGTGATTTATATTCAGAACTGGAGTATTAACCATCACTTCTAAAACTTAAAGTAGTTCCTTAAGTCTTACCCTCTCCTCTGAATTGAATAAATTCTGAACTGAATAAGATTTCTTTTCAAAATACCTGTATTGATATTAATTATTCTGCACAAAGTATATAGATGTGGATGTTGCTGGTCACAATTTAAAAAATCTCACATTTGATGTTATTCCTTTATTCATTCTGTTTTTTTGTTTTTTGTTTTTAAGGCCAGTCTCCAACATCAGTGTTCAAAGTACATATTTCTTAAAGAAACTTTTTATCTGTATTTAACTTGAGTGATATAAGCTTATTTAAACCAAGCACAGAGCTATCCAGTCACTCATTTTTTTAAGTTCCCTGATTTATTTAGGATGTTTTCTTCCGAGCCCTAATGTCCACATCCCTGTTTAAAAGTTCACAAGCATACTATTCAGTGCCTATGAACTATTCTTTTTTAACTTCACCTCAAAGAACAAATGATAGTATAAGGTCACCCCACTTCTTAGTGTCTTTTCCATTTGTCCTAGTCCTCTCCTCCAGATTTATAAGATTTTTGTTAACTTATTCTATCCAACAAGAGAACTTGTATACAATAAAAATTGACAAATGACATCCTAAAACCTTAACTTAAATGACATCCTAGAACTTTAAATCTAATTTGCACTTAAGAACTGACAAATTTGTTTCCCTGCCTTTCTCCCTAAGTCTAGAGACAAGTTAGTAGAATATTTTTCAAGAAACATTGCTTATGGAATAATTTTATTACCCTTATCCACTTCCTTACTTTTTTCTCTATGTTGGAGGGAGGCGTCTCCTTTACAGGTCTTTATACAGACTGTATTAAATTTTCAATTGAAGTTATGCTTTTAGAACTGGTGGTGTTGATAACTTTTACCCAAAAGCACATATAAAATGAAAATTCAATTACCTGTACTTGTTAGTAAGTTTGAAAAGGGACCATGTGCAATGATCAGGAACCCTCAGGGTCTGTTATGACTAATTTACAAGAACATCTGGTCACAGCTGCATACCATAGCCAAAGACAGAATTACAACACTGCTATTAGAACTAATCTATAGTCTGTATCTATCAAAGATAGACTGAATTTGGATATTGATGAAGTTAAAATGGAATATTCATTCAGGCACCTCAGATTTACAGTACTGCTTTTTTCTGGCCTCTTAAAAGCTTTCTCTTTTCCCATGGGGAGAGGTGCATGCTTGGTGAACCTGATGAGCTGTCAATTCTCTGTAAGGAGGTTCTGTTGATGGACAAATGTCTGGCCACCTGAGAATTAAGTCTGAGTGAAATATACTTGTACAATCAATTATTAATGATAGTGCCTTTAATAACCCTCTGAAAAGGGGGGGGTAGTATCTGCCACAGAGCTGACTTCAGCCAAATTTGCAGATGCGACATTAAAAATAAATTTTGATTTCTTCTTATAGAATCATCATTAATTAAGCACATCACTTTTTAATGTATCAATCACCATTCCAGTGTTAGGTTTTGTTTCTTTTCTCCATTAAAATCATCTCCATGTTTTGATCAATAAAGTGTGCTGCTTGATTTCATTTGGGATCTGTATTTGTGTTTTTGTTTTCCATTCCTTTATATTTCTTTGGTTCGTAGTGTCAGAAGATGATGTTTTTTATGACAAACTGCCCTCGTTTGAAAGGCGCTGTGAAACGCCTGCAGGTACGGTGCTAGCCAAGTGATCTCTAGATATGTAGACTTCAAAAATCCAAGCTGTTATGCCATCTGAATGCCATAAACTCCATGGACATGCTACCCACTCATGAGTATGGGTGCCTCCAGGACGCACCCTGTCTCCTTATTGCTCATCATGGAACTCATGCCACTGAAATTTTTTTAAGTGTCATTAAAAAGCAGCAGGGTTGCATGACAGTTTCTCAGTGAAGAGGTTGGGAAAAGGTGAGATGCTCTGGCTTTGTGAATTTACAAAGGAAGGAATAATTTAACTGCTCAGAATTTCATGCCCGGTGACTGCTTTTTAAATTTAAAGTACAGTAGAGCACTATTAGTAATGTTTCTTATCTCTTTGGTACGTAGGTAAAGGGTGTTTTGTGTCTGGATACCTAAGGTGATTCAGGGAAGGGGATGGAAGATATATGAGATCTTCCCTGATACACAAATTGATACACAATGCTGTTGTACTTTAAAATTTAAGCTCATGTGTTATACAACCCATAACTCCAAGTTCACCTTTGTGAAAACATAGAAGGATGACATTGAAGATAAAATGGATACAGCAAATGCTGAATGACAGTTTGCCCAAATTAGTGCAGTTAAAATATGCTGACACCCCTGCATGGCCAGGAAGACTTCTGCTCCATGCGCACAAGCACCCAATAGCAAGCTACCTATAGCACATGCCCATCCCTCTAGGCCTCCATAGCTTTGCTTTTGCTTTCTGTTTCCCAAACTAAAAAATATAGATATCCATAGATTGCCAGCCTTCCCTTTTATCCTGCACGCTAATGGCATGCAGTGCCTCCGCCCTTCCCCATATTGAGATTAATGACCTGCTCTGTAACTCACACTGTGTCCTTCTCTCTCCCTCTCCTTAACCTTCCCCATCCCGCTTCAACTCCTGGCCATACAGAGAATGAACAGCCTTCCCTCGTTTGGTTTGACAGAGGAAAGTTTTATTTGACTTTTGAAGGTAAGTAGTACATAGCATACCAGATTCTAATTTATACACCCCTCATCCTTTTCCCCTATCTGTATTTTGAAACCCCAGTTCTCTTCCAAATCCTAGCCTCACTTTCTATATAAAAATGCTATGGCTACTTAGAAAAGATTAAATACTAAAGAAAACATTACATGAATTTGGTTTCTATGGGATCTTCAATTTTTCATATCACAAAAATTAAAGCTAATTTGCACTTAATATTAATTACTTAACTAGTCAATTGAAGAAAAAACATCTTTTTTGACCAAGGAACTTAACTCTGTCAACCAGGACTCTTTCCTAACTCTTTTGCAAATGCAATGCAACAAATGTAAAGATTTTTTTTTTTTTTTTTTGGTATCGGCATTTAACTGTTTTGGATGATTGATATTTCAGCTACAACATCCACTATTATAAAATGTAAATGTGCCTGTACATTCTTATGACAAGGAATGATGTATAGGAGAGCAGGAAAAGGTAATTGGACAGCTATTGCTTGTAATTTTAGAAAATTCAGGATATATGCACAAATAGAGTATCAGATAGTTCACCTAAATGTTGCATCTTTATTATATTCTTTGGTATGATTACCTTTCTTCTGTTTTATATTTAAATTCTCAATCATCTTAACAGTTCAGAATTTGATAAAATAGTCCATTTGAATTAATAGGGAGGCATAATTTCAGTGATTTAACTTAATGAATGAGCCATCTTTCTCCAAAATATTTATGACCTAAGTGTTTTTTTCAAGGTTTCAAATAGTCACATATTTCTTGGAATCAAAAATTGGCCCCCAAATAGCCAGTTTTAAAACTGTATCTAAATATTGAATTTGTTTTTATATTTTATGAAAACAAAAAGGCTTTTCTTAACTTGAGTGTGTGTTTTAAAGTAATTTTGAAATTTGAATGTCCAGTAGGTATTGTAAGTAGTTTGTGTGGTGTGATTTTTTTTTTCTCTCAACAGTGAATTTTCCTTCCCAGATCATCCTAAGGATGGAAGTCCTTAGGTTGGAGTGACAAGGAAAGCAGCAAGAAATATAATCTGATTTAAAACTTCCCAAATACCCTGACAATCTTGACCTGGCCCAGATAGGGGACAGGTGGGCAAGTAGTCGGCAGAGGGGGATGTACATTTTCTACATAATGCTAAGGCTTCATTATCTCAGGTCATTAATTTTGCAATAACCAAGGTACAAAGTCCACAAATTTATGACCTTCCAAACTTTCTCTTTGAGTCAGGTAGAATTTGAAAGTGCCCAGGTGTCTTTTTACAGATCAGCATATCTGAGAAGGAGAAGCAGTAGCTAAAAAAAAAATCACTACTCTTGAAGTACAGCAAATACCTGCATAAGATGTAAGGCTCTTTCTCTGCTTCAGTCTGGCCACAGAAGAAGCTAAAATACCCTGTTTTAACCATGAAATTAACTAAGCAATATGCAGTAGCAGCACTGAGTAATTGCGTTAAAAAAAAAAAAAAAAAACTTTGGCCATTTTGTCGTTGTTACTGAGTTTTTGGATTTTAGAGTTTCTGCTGGCTTGTTTGCTCTTATGTTGGGTGCCTTGAAACAGAGAGAAATTTTTTGAAAATGTCAGTCTAAAGACAACTGTAGGTTAGATACATAATCAAATGAAATGTACTTATTAATAAATGTGTTGAATAACATTGTGAACCCCATTTTTTTACTGTAGAAAACTATGTTATTTGTTAGCAGATATCTGAAATAGATCACATTTCTGTTCTGATGAGTAAGATCTAGTTCCTTAGTTTTTTATGCATTTTTTTAAACTGAGGTGACCTTGGTTTACAACATTGTACATATTTCAGGTTCACTGTCCTTCAGATGTGTGGTTCCACATAATGCCACCACCAAAGCACCAATAACTTTCTACAAAAGTCCATTGGCCCCTCTCTATCCTTTGCTCCCACTCCTCTTCCTCTTTAATAACCTCATTGTGTTGTCTGAATCCAAGATTTTATTTCTGTTTTTTTTTTTCAGTGCATTTGCTTTATCTCTTTATATTCCACATACAAATGAAGTCATCTGTTAATTTTCTCTCTTTTGACTTATTTCACTTAGTATAATACCCTCAAATTCCATCCATGTTGTTAAATGGCAAGATTTCATCTTCTTATTTATTTTTTAAATTATTTATTTATTTATGCATAAATAAATCTACTGGAGTATAGGCCAAAGGTACAGGAGGAGAGAGGATTCACTAGAGACAGAGTGGGGAGCAGAACAGGCAGATCGACTGAAATACACTGCTGAAGGGAGCAACAGAGGAGACGGGAGAGTTCTGCTGTACCATGAGGGTCACCTCTCTGACTGGGGATTGAACTGGTGCTGCAGTGGCTTCAGATAGCTCCATAGTGCTGCACTTTAACCCCTTGTGCCACCAGGGAGGGTGGGCGCAAGATTTCATCTTTTTATAATTGAAAAATACTCAATGATGTATAGTTATACACAATAGAAGTGTAGTGTAAATTAATCGGAACCTCCAGAACTGTGTTTCTTTCTCCGTGGACTTTACCCAACTTTGGGAGTTAAAGCAGCAGTCATACCATAGATGTGTGTCCTTGCATATTTTACCAAGAGATTATTATGTAGTTATAAGTATGTTAAAGTGAACTTCAAGGAAAACTTTACATGAAAATAAAATCTTGCCACCTGAGCAAAAATGGGTATGTTTTTAAACTAGATATTTGTTTTCATTGATAAGCATTAGTTTCAGGGAATTTAGCTCGTATAATCTGGAAGGACTTTAAAATCATCTGCTGTAGTGACAAAATGACTTAGAAATGGTGACTTGTTACATCACTTTAAGAATAACTCATTCACCTAAGTATTCAAATTCTAAAAACACTATTGCTCAATTTGTTTTAAAGAATAGCACATCCAGCATATTATTTTAGGGATTCCTGGTTTTACCCAGAGTTAATACTAATAACCATTACATTCCATCCTTCATTCAGAGATAGTAGAAGAAAAAATATTCTCGCCAATTTTAAATCACTTTTAAGTTATTTGTTGGTGTCTAAATAATGTTTTTCTAATGATGTTAACCTTAGTTTATCTTATTCTCTGTTCCTACAATATTATAAAGATTGCAGTCATTCAATGTTTGAACTCACTGACTAACCAACCAAAACAATTGAACATTAGCTTATGAGTTTATTTGGAGTTAATATCAGGTGCTTCATACTTCCAAGTTTAATTTAGCAAGAGGATTAGAAGCATGTTAGACAATGGTTCTATTTAGCAAGACTTCCAAAATCTTTCTTAATGTTTTACTTTTGTAAAAAATTTTATTTAAATCTAAACCTATTTGAGTTTTTTTTTAAAGTAAGGGTTTTAAAAAGTAATTATTTTTGAAATATATTCATCCAAGTTTATATCCTATTGAAGTAAGTTATTCAATATTCTTCTGAGGTAAAAGGAAGAAAGTACTATTTCTAGGACAAGTAGAAAATGTGACTCTTTAGATATTGGAACAATTCCCTGGAATGCTTCAAGATGTTTCCAGAAACCTGTTGCCTATCTCCTTGGTTAGTTTATTTAACTACAGAGTCATCTTGTGTCAAGTAATGGGGACAAAGAGTGGGGAGGAATCTATATCAATACATTTTTGAGTTTCCTTGTGCCTGAGTACACCATCTTCTGTACACAAGCTTTGTGTACCCTCCCATCTCTAGATGCAGAGTATAAAGCACAGGAAAGGGAGTCTCGAGGGCTTGTGAAGCCAGAAAAAGTGTTCTCTCCTTAGCCATATGGGTAGTACCCAAGCATGAGCAGGAAAAAGTTGAATATGACCCAGGAATTCCAAATAGGCAGAGTACTGGAGAGACCCTGAAGTTTTAAACCAAACAAGAACAAGTCTTTCCAGCTACAAAGGTCAGGAACAGTAACATGGATTAAGGAAAAAAGGAAGTTAGAGATTCTAAAACATATATCTAAGAACAGTAGACAGGAGGAACATGTTTTTGTTGGGAAATCTGGCATGTGTGGTCAGAGAAGTGGTGGCTACGTGATAATAAGGTTGGGGGTGAAAACTGCCATATTGATAGCCTGTCAGAGATTCTCACTAGTGTGAGTAGAAATATTAAAACTTTAAAATGGACAAATATTCATTGGAGAAGCATACATTAAAAGGTATGAAAAGAAGTCTCACTAGTAACCAAAGGACTACAAAGGGAAGGACAGTTCAGTTTCTGAAATTTCTGAAAAAAAGCAAATATGTCATGCTTATGAGAATATCATGAGTCACTTTAACATACGCCTGTGGAAATAAAAGCCTGCTGCAATCTTTTTAAAACTGTTTGGCAATTTGTACCATGAACCTTTAAAAGCCTTATAATTTTTATCTATAATTCCAATTTTTTAAATGGATTATAAGAACATATTTTAAGATAAAAGAATTATATGTGTTAAATATAAGGATATTCATTGCCTGTGGGAAAACTTCAAATGCCTGGCAGTTGAAGTGAAAAAATGCATGATTAGTGACAGAATAAAATGTGTCTAGTACAAAGTTTTTCAAAACAATATTGGACCTAAAAATAACCACATATCACTTTTTCCTTACTAGTTCAGAACAGTGAAAATCTTGACATAAATCATCATATATTAATTTCTTGGAGGAATGTTTGGTAACATCAGATCCATTTAAAATGTACAAACTCTTTAATCTAGGGATTTCACTTTTAACCACTTAATCTTCAGAAAAAATTCAGACTAGCCCATGAGGATATAGACAAGGTTGTTCATTGCACCATTTTGCACAAAGTAGCAAAAGAAAAATGTAAAAACCTAAACATCCATTAATAGAATATAGGTACATGCATACAATATTTTGTCACCAAAAATACCATAAACAGAAATTGGGAGTCATATCGGGATCTGGATTACATAGAGGATTCTGCTGTCCTCCTTTATTCATTTCTTGAATGCTTTCTGTTACACTTACAGTTTAAAAGTGGAATTAGTAATT